GGGTCTCGTTTAACACAGTAGAGGCGTTCCTGAAAAGTGCCACATTAAGCGAAAAAACAAATCCCCTATACATAATGTAGTCGCTTGGCCACGCAGCTCAAGAAAGTAGTTCATCATCAACCTCTCAGAAACTGCGTTGTAACGCGGTGGGCCTGGTCAACATTGTAACGGACGCATTCCGCGTTCGTGCGAAAAGTGTTGCCAAATGGAAGAACCGCGTTGTAGCGAAAACGCGTTGTGTGAGCACGCATTACGCGAGGAGGACTTACATTAATTTGTTTTTATTGCGTCTGCAGCGTGGGGTACACTTACTCCACTCCGGACAGTTCTGCATGCGCAGAGAAAATGTATACGACCAATGCTAAAGCTATGGGACCTGTAAGAGCTACAGTGTTAAATGGAACAAAGCTTTGTCACTGATTTGTGATTTGGTTAATTTTAGATGCGAGAGTCGAAGGACACTGCTCTGGAAGCAGGGGGGCTCTCCGACTCTGTGAGAACAGGTACATTGTGAATTGAGCTTCCCCAGTAACACAGACATGCGCGTGTCTGCAGCTTTCACCGCCGTGACAGATGAGTTAAGGTCCGGAGGTCACCAAAGGGTATTGCTGCTGATGCCACGAAATAGTTTATTTCGCTAGATCCCTCGGCTATTGTGAAATCAATACATTACCTCCACAGTCTCCCGTTAAAGAATTGCACTGTCTGGCTTAACTACCTCTGTACAATTGAGATGTATATGGCATCTAAATTAAACCTAAGCATACTGTAGAGCACTGTGTGAAATGGGTATCTTGCAGAAAAGGTGGCTTAGTTATTTTATAAAGAGACTAGCAACCTGAACGTAATTTGGACTGGACCATCCATCCATACCTCCCTTCAGCCAGCAAAACTTTTTTGTGTCATGTAGTGAAGGTCGCCGTCGTCGAACTACGGTCCTCCCCCACCCCCAACGTCCCCTCCTGCCCACCCCCGGGTGCCCCCTTCTCGCGTGTGACCACCCCCAGGGGCCCACCCGCATATCCTCCCAGACAGCCCCCCACCCTCGCTCAGCTCTCCCCATGCACGCCCCCAACCCACGCACAAGCCACCCGCGCACCCCGTTCCCTTTGCGCGCTGGTCGGCAGATGGCCTCCAGCCATTGAGAACGCACGCTGGGTGGTGCGTCGTCAACCAGCCAGCCAGCAAAACCTCTTTCTCGTATAGTATAGAAGAGACAAAAGCAGGGCAAAAGAGGTAGGATCTTGAGCGAAAACTCAAACGGGGGCACAGAACAGCCGGTCAGTCCTCTTTGAGCGTCTTCGTGACCGCGCAGGAGTCTTCGACACTCGTCTCCTGGTTCCGCTCCGCCCTCTCAAACTGCTCCTCCTCCGTCTCCATGCAAGGACTGTGCGATGGTGGTCCACGAGGCTCCATCCTCAGCCCCCTGCTCTTCTCAATGTCGCTCCTCGCTGTCGACAAAATCACCTCCAGGGTTAAAATCGACCCCCGTGTCTATGCTGACAATGAGCAGTTCTACGTCGCCATTCACTCCATGCGCCCGGCTTCACTCTCCACTCTCACTTGATGCTCTCATTGTACAATTCACAGTGAATCTGCACTCAGCATTCAAAGTACATATACTTAGAACTTTCTTTAGACCATACGTAGCCGGCCATGTGAAACGTAGCCAACCATGCTCAAGTTAAAATAAAAACATTTTAGATTTTCATCACTTGTGACATCAGCATCTGTACTTAAATCAACTCTTGTTTTGTCCGTTGTGCTCTCTTTCAGCGTGTACGATACAGTAGCGTTGCTGTGGGAGCGCCCGGCAGCTGAGCGATTGGAGCAGCGTGGAGAACGGTGCGACACCTTTGGAACGCTGAATTTAGTGCACAGTAGGAAGGGTGTTACGGTGTACGTTTTCTCTGCGGCTTTAAAAAAGCTGTCAAACTCGCGCCGTGGCGATTAAATGTGTACAGGTGACCATCTCACCTTGACACCCGCTGGGGAACAGGCTTCGCGACGTGGAGACAGACTGGCTGTTTAACTTGAGAACTTACACCATACGTAGAGACACACGAAGCGTGTCCATGCCATTTTTCCCCGTAGTCTTTGCGTGCAAAGATGCACAGAGATCCCTGCAACGTACGATGCAGAGCAGTTTTCCGGTGCAAAATATCACCGTGCAGTTGTTGGGCATGTGCCTGAGCTTGTACTGCAACCCTTTAGGAAGAAGGTAAATGAGAAAATGTGCCATGCACCGATGCACATAATTGTACGTTATATTTAATCGCAGTATTTAAATGAGATATTTTGAAGCTACGTAGTGTGTGCAATTTTACGGATATCTCAATGCATATGATAAAACATTAACATACACGTTGGTTTAATTTGCTTATTTAATATTACGAGGCAGTCTATGATTTTTATTTAAACATTGGTATAATATATATAGGGAGGCTCTTAGATATTTATATGGCCAGGATGTCTATACCAGCGGTAAGGGTAGATGGGGCGAGGCACGTGGAGGGTCACGCCCCTGCTGTGACCCCTTATCCAAGACTTCAGATTTTAGGTGCCGTGATCATACCTGGAGCCGTCATGGTCCCAGCCTCCACATATGAAGTTGTCTATAAATAAACGTTCACATTGAATGGCCGTGCCCGTGTATTGTCTTCTGCTGTGCAGTGTTGTATTCCTCTTGGTCATACTTTTTTTTACGTAGTGCCACAAGTTTCTGGTTTAAATTGTCAGCCTTTACATTGTTTGATGCTGACATCTGCCAGTGCTACTTTTACTCGTATTTGATATATTTCACGAAATTAAATGTGAGTGGTGTGGTGAGTAGCACACTCAAACTCGGGTCAACACAGCAACCTGAGTTTTCTTACCAGTCACGTTCGGATTACAAACTTTCTATTGTTGAAGTGTGTGTGTGTGTGCGTGTTGTGACAATATCCAGTTCACTTGGTAGCGGAGATTCAGAAGTCTCAAGATGTCTGGCTCTTGCCTAGAGGATAATAGATTCACGTAACCAGTGTTTGGCGTTGCCATTATCTTGCACATCGCTTCTGAGAGAGAGCTACATGGCTCAGTGGGCTTTACCTGGTAAAATAAAATAGTCGTTAAATATTATTTTGGTCTTTCGGTAAAGTCACGTAGATAGGTTTGTTATTTTCTTTTCAACCTATCTATATGAATTCCTGCAGCCACGAAAGCTTTAAGTCAAGATTTCGTCATTAAATAGTTTTCACGGTAAAAATATCATAATTGCACACACTTTTGCACTCAAAAGTAGAAAATAAATTTTTACCCCAATTAATGAAATGTAATGTGCTGAATAAAAGTGGATGGCTTCCTTTTGCTATGTTAAATTTGCTTTATGCAAGCCACCCACTTTTATTCAGCACATCTAATTTGATTAATTCTGGGGTCAAACGAACGTGACATTTTTTACTTAAATTGACATACATTTGTATAAATGTTTATTTAAAAAAAAACGATTGTCTCCTTCCTCTGCTCCAGTTGCTTGAGCATTTGCAAAATAAACCTCGCTCACTTTCTACTACATTGCACGATAGAACCATAGCTGTCCAAATGTGTTCCGAGCCGAGTTGGAAGTTTCTGTATCGTAAAACGATCAATGAAGGCCTTTAAAGGGCTTATTATAGACGTCTTAAATGCCTTGCAAATCGGACGGTCATAACCCGGATGTTACGTTTCCCAAACTTTAAATCACCACTTTTTAACTGACACATAAAAAAAATACATAAAATCAATACTTGATTAAATATTCACGTTTCACAAAATGTCATGCGTGCAATAAATTGCCTTTAATATATATTTTTTAAACTTTTTTTTTAAACACGCTTTAATGAAATGTACCGTACTAGTAATGGAAGAACTCCACGACTCCAGGAAGTGGCCCCGAAGCTCGCCACAACGTAAGGGGACCGTGGCCAATTACATCCAACGTGAGTTGAGCGTCGACAATTTACCTGTAGATCCAACTGACAAGTATACCAAATTTGCAGTCGATACCACGTTGGGAAGTGGGTTAAAATTGAGTTACACGATTTGAGGATACAACAACAACAACAAGACTGAGTTAAATAAAAGCGTGTAAAAAGGGAAGAAAAATCCGGGCTTACGGGGTAACAGACAAACACTTGCTCCATTACAGTATAATTATACTGGTAGGAACGAAGTTGTAAACTGAGTGTACCAGCCTGCAATAGATTAATGCGTCCGTCCGTCCCCTTTCAATACTTTAACGAAGTGAAATCTCGTGCTGTTGGGTGTAAAATCAGCAATAGACAGCGCAGAGACTTGTCCTACCAGCCCACCCTGCAGGGACCTGTTTTTTTTTTAAAAAGCGACGTGGCATAAAATTGCAACTTTTATCTCAACCACAGCTCTGGGCGGAATGCATGGAGCAATGTGTCACTGTGTCGGTTTTGCCCGGCATATCGTCTCCCTTTGAGCCGCTGTAGCAGCGGGAATGAGGAACGAAAATCAATCCCCCAGCGGTGATGCACTAAGGGGTGACTTTGTAGGACTTGCTAATGGAGACGGTCCGGGTTAGGAATTGCGAGGTTGAGGAAGCACGGAGGGAATCACAGGGTGCTTACCGGAGCACGTGAAATATAAATCACTTATTGAGCACCACACATCAACGGAAGTGACCGATTGAAGAAACAGCTCTCCGTGGTTTTTGCCTGAAAGTAAGGGACGTGGCGCGCGCCTAACGCACAAAACGTCGGACTTTCATCGCCACCATTCCGGGGGCGAATCGCGTTAGAGGGATTACGCAATCACGACATGACCACCATCCCCCCCACCCACAACAACAACACCACCACCACTCCCTGCCAAACCCTTCCACCGTGAACACGCGAGATGAACTTTGTGAGCCACGCCAAAACCCGAGCATCCCCCCCCCACCATCGTCAGAGGTAAAAGGCGGCGGGGGGTTGCGGCTGGCACGGGGAGCGGCGTCTTTCCAGAGGGCGGTGGTGGTGCCGCAACTCGAGCGGCAAGGAAGGGGAAGAAGGAACACTGCGAGGATGATTCATCGTGGCCGTCTTCCGTCTGGCTGGTATGGGTGGGGGAGGGCCATCCGCGTTCTCGCTCTCTTCTTTATAGTGCCTCCCGAATCTCATATACAGGGCGTTTCAAAGAGATGGACCCAATTTTCAAGATGTAGCGAATTCAAATCGGGTCCATCTGTATAAAACACCCCGTATAACAAACTAAAACGTATTTCTCGAGGTTATTATTGATAAGCGTTGAGTGCCCTTGGGTATGGCATGATAATTGTTGTTTTATTATTGTGTGTGTACAATCACTGTTCAACAACATTCGTCGTTAATACGCCCCCGTAGCTTATAAATCACAAGTGTTATTATTGGGGATGTAAAATAAATCTTGACTCAAAGCTTTCGTGACTACAGGAATTCATATTCTTTGGGTCTTTCGGTAAAGTCACGTAGATAGGTTGAAATAAAATAAGCTACGACGTTTCGATCGCAACACCTCTTGTAGACGCACAACCCAGCGCCGCACACGACCGCTTGTATTGTGATAGAAACGGCGTAGATTTTTGTTATTTTATTTCAACCTCTCTACGTGACTTTACCGAAAGACGCAAAGAAAATCTAAAATAACTTTAAACGTTTGATAATCGAGGACACTTTAAATCAACGGGTATTAAACGCGTTGAATAATCCCATACATGTACGTATAAATATGTTGCCATTTAAATGTGTCGAAGGCTCAAACATAGCACCAAATAATGCCAACGAGGGGATGACCAGGAGGTTGTTCATGGGCCTTGTTGAGATTGGGGATGGCAGAGGCAAAGGTAGGGGAGGCACATTGTTGTTGCTAAGTCGTTTTTTGGGGGTTAGATCGCGTAAATGGCACTGTGTCGTTAAACCCGTCACCACCCGACACGGCCAATTAGTAATATATCACGTAAACAAAACGTGCCAAGTCGTTACGAGTACAGCACACTGGTGTATTGGAGGGTAAACTCACAACATTTACAATTTGAGTACGACGTTTCGCCAGTAATTACAACTGGCATCATCAGACGACAGCCAGATTTGTGCAGAAATCCTCATCCTGTTTCGCGTTGGTGTTCATTGTAACTTGCTGACCCGCCCGTACTCTGGGACATCTGCGAGGAGAGGAAAGAAGAATAAGAAAAGACGGCTACGTGGCTAATCGGATTCCTCATCCTCCTGTCCTAAATAAAAGATGCCGATTCGCAGGAAAACGTGATCGTGTTTGCTCCCATCCCCAATTTCAACGAACGCGGCTTCGAAATCCCTTGCGTGCCACGTGGGCTTGGAGGAAGCTTGCTGTGCGGGGGAAGTCAACGTGGTGGTGTGGCCGTGGGGGCCGCGCCAGGTCCCAGCAAGAATGAATGTGTTGTGATAGCCCCGAGCGCTCCATGGCATCCCACCCACCCACCCTCCCCACCGCGGGGCAGAGTCCAGAGCGCAGAGGGAGAACTTGGCACAGACCCCCCTCCCCCTTCATCCTGTGGCATTAATTGTTACGAACGCGTTCATCGGGTCATAGGAAGAATGCCCAGCGCTGGGTGTAATGTGACGCGACAAAACAGCAAAGATATCCTCCCGTCTAGCCTGAGGCACGCAGCCTCGGTGCTCGTGGTCGAGAAGAGACTTCGTGACGCGCGAGCTCCGAGACTCAACACAACCGTGGCTCCTCGGCACTCCCGGCTGCGGCAGAATCGCAACCTCGACCTGGCGGCGCCAACAAAGGTCCCCCGTGTAGCCTTGACACACTGTTGGGGCAAGTGCTGCTAGCGAGTCGCACCTATGAAGGCCGGCGCAGCACCACGTCCGTCCGCCTTTGTTTCCCCAGTGACGATGTTTACGCACCGCGCTAGGCACTTGAGGCTGAATCGACATAGGGGAGGCCCAGGATGGGTTCAGATTATAATCTTCACTGGTGTTGGTCGTGAGTGGGAATCAAACTCTGGTCGCTGTGTTCATTTAATCCTTGTGGTGGTACCCCGGGGTAACCAAATAATACAAAATGACCGAGGCAATTAAATATTTTATTTCTGTGACACTATTTTTTTCCCAGGGGTGTACTTCACTCGGCGACTGGGGTAACAAATCAATCCGAAATCGGTGCCACACTCCGCGATGTCGGTACGCAGCGAGGACGATTGCGCCGATACCCTGAACGCTCGCACGCACCGTGGTGGTGCTGACCATCAGCAGACTAAAAATGACTGCATCACGGACATCATGCGAGAGCCGGGGTACTTTGGTACCCCGGGGTACCACCATAAGGTTAATTTGTGCATTCATTCAAGTGTCAATGCGTTCTTGCTTTGTGCAATTGTCGCTCTGTCCATGGTTCTCATTCATCTGTAATCTGGTCTCAATACAAGACCATCTGTGTGTAACCTGGTCTCAATACAAGTCCATTTGTGTGTAATCTGGTCTCAATACAAGACCATCTGTGTGTAACCTGGTCTCAATACAAGACCATCTGTGTGTAACCTGGTCTCAATACAAGTCCATCTGTGTGTAATCTGGTCTCAATACAAGTCCATCTGTGTGTAATCTGGTCTCAATACAAGACCATCTGTGTGTAATCTGATCTCAATACAAGTCCATCTGTGTGTAACCTGGTCTCAATACAAGTCCATCTGTCTGTAACCTGGTCTCAATACAAGACCATCTGTGTGTAACCTGGTCTCAATACAAGTCCATCTGTGTGTAATCTGGTCTCAATACAAGTCCATCTGTGTGTAATCTGGTCTCAATACAAGTCCATCTCTATGTGTAACCTGGTCTCAATACAAGTATACCTGTGTGTAACCTGGTCTCAATACAAGTCCATCTGTGTGTAATCTGGTCTCAATACAAGACCATTTGTGTGTAACCTGGTCTCAATACAAGACCATCTGTGTGTGATCTGGTCTCAATACAAGTCTATCTGTGTGTAACCTGGTCTCAATACAAGTCCATTTGTGTGTAATCTGGTCTCAATACAAGTCCATCTGTGTGTAACCTGGTCTCAATACAAGTCCATCTGTGTGTAACCTGGTCTCAATACAAGTCCATCTGTGTGTAACCTGGTCTCAATACAAGTCCATCTGTGTGTAATCTGGTCTCAATACAAGTCCATCTCTGTGTAATCTGGTCTCAATACAAGTCCATCTGTGTGTAATCTGGTGTCAATACAAGTCCATCTGTGTGTAACCTGGTCTCAATACAAGTCCATCTGTGTGTAACCTGGTCTCAATACAAGTCCATCTGTGTGTAACCTGGTCTCAATACAAGTCCATCTGTGTGTAACCTGGTCTCAATACAAGACCATCTGTGTGTAATCTGGTCTCAATACAAGTTCATCTGTGTGTAACCTGGTCTCAATACAAGACCATCTGTGTGTAACCTGGTCTCAATACAAGTCCATCTGTGTGTAATCTGGTGTCAATACAAGCCCATCTGTGTGTAACCTGGTCTCAATACAAGACCATCTGTGTGTAACCTGGTCTCAATACAAGTCCATCTGTGTGTAATCTGGTCTCAATACAAGTCCATCTGTGTGTAACCTGGTCTCAATACAAGTCCATCTGTGTGTAATCTGGTCTCAATACAAGACCATCTGTGTGTAATCTGGTCTCAATACATGTTACTCTCTGCATTATTCGTGATTTTGTTTACATGTCCATAGTAACTCGAGTCGGGGACAACTTTGTCTTTCGCAAAGGAGCCATGTTCAGTAACTGCGGACAGTTTACGTTCGCCACTTTGTGTCGGATAAAATCTCTTCCCCAGTGCCACGCTCCCCCTGCTCCTCTCGCTTCGCCACTGGGGCTCGGTTCGCGGGGGGCCCCTGCTGCCCCGGAGCCTGGCGCCCCTCCCGGCACGCCGCCTCCACTCCGCGGGGGGTCCCCTCGGCTCGGACGGCGGGGGGAGCCACTACAGCCACGTGGTGGTCGGGGCCGGCAGCGCGGGCTGCGTGATGGCCGGGCGCCTGTCCGAGGACGCAGCGTCCCGCGTGCTGCTGCTGGAGGCCGGCCCCAGGGATACGGTGCTGGGCAGCAAGCGGCTCGCCTGGCACATCCACATGCCCGCCGGATTGAGCAAGGTCCTCCACAACAGCAAGTGAGCCCCCCCCCCCACCACAACACCTCTGGTGAGATTCGCTGGGGCGGGACGGGGGATTGGTTACAAGTACAGGGATCTCCTCCACTTCTGAACATTCGACTTACGAACTTTCAAAGATACGAACAAACCTGTCCGTATGTCCAGTCGCCTGTTAGGACCAAGAGTCGTAAATTCAACCGCCGTGTGGTGGAATCTCCATCTGCAGGACGTGAAGAACCGGTGGCATCTACATCTACAAGAGATTATACAACTTTTAAAGCCATTCCCCGTGTTCAGTGTGCATGCCGTACAATGTGTTTGAAATCGACAGGAGTGAAGTTGGACTTGCGAACAAATCGACTTACGAAAAGACCTCTGGAACCTAACTCGTTCGTAAGTAGAGGAGTCCCTGTAGATAGTTTTTTTTTTTGTACAACCGGTGCAAGAACGTACAAAGGCAAGAGAGGTGAGTGTCACTTGCGCGAGCGACCTCGGGTCACTAAAATGACAGGTCAACGGTGTTAAAACAAGTGCAGCGATGAGGAAAATAGAAATCGACCAAACGAAACATAATAAAGCAAAAACACAACCGCGTTGCAGAAGATATCTTTCGATAGTGCACAAACGTAAACTAAAAATTCTTATTTTACCAGGTAAGGCCCACTGAGCTATACAGCTGTTTTTCAGAAGCGACCTGGCCACAAATGATAGCTCAACGAAGATGGCTTATCACGTGGAAATGTATAGCAGCCAAATACTAAACGTCGAGGGAAAAACCGGAGGTCCTGGAAAAAATCAGTGCCACCACGGAGAGAGAGACATGAAAACTCAAAATATACAGGAAATACTCCAAATATAAATAACAATGAAGTTATATTTCCGATAACATAATCAAAATATAAAATTATCCTGGAGAAATCTGATGAGTGATAAAGCTCTTTTTCACAAATGTCCAGTAGTTTTCACCAAAGTTGACCTTGGACAAAATACTTTTAAAATCATTCGTAGTGAAATGAAGTTAAATGAAACACCGTGCCAATTATTTGCTTCAGCTCACACCGGTAGGTTGAGAAACAATTCTCACAACGACGAGATCGGCAACGTCTCTCCTGAAACTGTGTCGCGCATTCCCCATTCCAATCCAGGGAAGCCAAATGAACCGTGCCTCCTGACTCAATTTCTTAAACAGATGTCCTCAGTTATTGCTCACCCGCGCCCAACTTTATTGACTGGCTCACCCGTACCATAACTGAAACATCTCAGTGCACTTCTGCCAAACTCTTGTCGACGTCTGACGCCGCTCGCGCCACGCGTGCTACGCGTGCGCGCGTGCGTGTGTGTGACGTATGCCCAGGTACGCAGTGCACTACTACACGGAGCCTCAGGAGCACTTGGGCGGAAGGTCGCTCCTCTGGCCCCGAGGTCGCGTCTGGGGTGGGACCTCGTCCATGAACGGCATGATCTACATCCGGGGCCACGCCCTGGACTATGACGGGTGGGTGGCGCCGTTACCTCAAGCAGGAGTCGGACGGAACTGTCGTCGTGCAAACGCTGCGAGTTAACGTGAGCAAGGGAAGGGAACGCTTCGTTTTACGCCTTGCAGGCACGGAACTCCCACCTTGATACTCCTGCAATTGTTTGGCACTGTGACCAATCGATGGCGTACACCACGACTCAACAACCTCTCACACAGTTTAACACGTAGGTTTTCGCGACCAATATTATCCATAATGGAGGGGTTTTTTTCTTTTGTTAGATCGCATTAATATAAATGTGTCATTCAACCCACCACCATTCGACACAGACAATTAGTAAGGTTTGTCAATAAACAAAGCATGCCAATTAGTTACTGTGTGTTGGAGAGTAAAACCACAACATTTACAATTCGAATACGACGTTTTTCCAGTAATTACAACCAGCCTCATCAGGCGACAGGCAGAATTTTGGAGAAATCCTCCTTCTGTTTCGGTCTTAAATAGAGGGATGAATGTGATGTCATCACTTGTGAGCCAATCCGGTGTGAAAACGATCCTCTCACACCAAGCACAATTACCATACAATAGCACGCACTGCCTCGCAACGCCTATCACAATTAAACACGGCAATTAATTACACACGCGTGTACATTGGTGGTGGCTCGCGATGCTCGTATACAGCAATGGAACAAAAGGCCCAAAGTAGCAGGGACCCTCTTGAAAAGAAGTCTCCAGAAGTCTGAAGTCCCCTGCGTGCGTGAGCCTCTGCGAGGGTAAAGTTCGAAATTCCTCCACACGGTATTCAAACGCGCCTCAGTCTCTCTCTCTCTCTCTGCTCAATGTAGACACGACTCTCTGTTTGCACGAGGCTCTCTCTGCTGAGAGAGGGTGAGGTGCGGCGGTGGGTCCGGTGCAATTGCAGCGGTGCCGCCGCACTTTCAAACAATTACGATCCCTGGCAGCGGTGTGCCGCTGATTTTAGACTGAAAACTCGTTTCTTTAGAGCTGCTTTGTGTGTTTGGTTTGTTGTCCTTCCCCCCCCCCCCCCGCACCTCCGATGAGCACGGTTGGCTACGTACGGTGCGGAAGAAGTTCAACGTGCACAGATAGGGGCCACTCTGCCTGGTGAGCTCTCCCCCGTCCACCCCCCACCAGGTGGGAGCAGGAGCACGGAGCGAGCGGGTGGTCGTACGCAAACTGCCTCCCCTACTTCCGCCGAGCACAGAGCCACGCCCTGGGCCCCGACGAGTACCGCGGCGGCGACGGCCCGCTGCGCGTGTCGCGCGTGCCCACCCAGAGCCCGCTGCACGTTGCCTTCCTGGAGGCGGCGAGCCAGGCCGGCCACGCGCTCAACGAAGACATGAATGGTTTCCGGCAGGAGGGCTTCGGGTGGTACGACCTCACCATCCATCAGGGTGCGTGTGCACGTGCGGCGGCTGCAGCAGTAGTGATGATCGCAAGGTGGTGGTCGTAATTATGATCACAACGATGATGATGATATGAAGATATCGAGTGTGCAGGAGATGCAATTGTACGCCCCCGGGCCCCAGGGCGAAAATTAGACAGAGAGCCCTATATCCTTGCACCAGGACCCACGCCAACCACGTTCTTCTACTGATGACACCGATGATAACATCACGGTGATGGTAGCATCTGCTCCAGTAAGTCAAGAGAGGGCCTTGCGCTGTAAGGGGGCCTTACGCTGTAAGGGGGCCTTACGCTGTAAGGGGGCCTTACGTTACAGCGTAAGGCCCTCTCTTGACTGTCACTCTGTGCCCAGTCTTATCTGTCAGCCACCATCCTTCGAGTGCAAACACTCCAACGATTATTTTGTTCAGTGAACTTTGTATGAATGGGACTTTGCTCATATTTATCTTTGGCTCAACGTTTCAGCCATCCTGTGTCCTTCGTTTCACATCGATAATTCCAAGGTAATATTATGATCAGTGTCACAAAATCTGAAAGTTTCATAATCGAGGTTTTTTCGGGTTAGATTGCGTAAATATGAATGTGTGTAAACAAAGCGTGCCAATTCGTTACTAGTACAGCACACCGGTCTGTTGGAGAGTAAACCCACAACAGTGTAAAGACTAAACCTACAACATTGTAAATGCGCACACCTGCGCACACCTGCGCACACCTGCGCACCACCAGGCAAACGCTGGAGCTCGGCGTGCGCGTACCTGCACCCCGCACTGTCGCGCCCCAACCTGGAGGTGCGAGACGGCGCCGTGGCCACCCGCGTCCTCTTCCGGGGCGAGCGAGCCGTGGGGGTCGAGGTGCTACGAGGCGGGGTCAAGGAGCAGGTGAGGTCCCGCCGGGTTGTCGTGGGAGCAGGCGGGGGGGGTGCGGGGCAGGGCTGGCTCGCGCTCATCGAGCCAGACGAAGGCTCCTTTGGTGACTGCCGCTGCCGCCGCCCCATACCGTCCCACGTTGCTGCTGCCAGGTATTTGCCGAGCGGGAGGTGATCCTCTGCGGTGGCGCAATCAACTCTCCCCAGCTGCTGTTGCTGTCGGGGATTGGACCGGAGAAGCATCTCAAACAAGTGGGGATCCCGGTGCTGGTAAACAGCCCTGGTAGGTTCGCCTTGATTTTTGCCGGCGCACCCTTTTCGATTTATTCCATAATAAGGTTGTTGTGTTCGTGCAGATTTGTAGTCGCTCCATTGTTCTACTTCTTTAAAGTGCATAGGTCCAGTGGCTTCCGAATATCGAATGATAACCCATAGGACTGAGGGGTCCTATGGGTTCTAACCCAGTTAAACAAAATTATCTTGACCTAGAACTTGAAGATAATGACGACATTGGGCTTCGTACATGTACACACATAGCCATGTGGTCAGTCCGTTGCTCGGTAAGGACATCCCCCACACCAGGCGGATTTTATTTGACCATGCTTCACCACACTGGTCAGTGCAGGTTAGTGAAAGCAGGGAGCATAGCTGTGGGAGTATAGAAGTACAGTACAACGACACTTTTTTTTCCTTCATTACGTAGCCATGCAGTAGGCCCGTTTTATGTATGGTGGTCGCCCATCCAAGTATTTATCCAGGCTCAACCACTGCTTGGCTTCGGAGAGCCGATGAGTTCACATGCCTTCTGGGCAGTTTGGTCATGGGCTGTTGTTGTAAATGGATGGGATCATGATTTCCCTCTCATTCCTCCCCCCACCACCCCGGTGGGCGTATAGGCGTGGGTCGCAACCTGCAGGACCACCTGAATGTGAGCGTTAAGCAGAGGTGCGCGCAGCCCCTGACGGCTTACACCGCCCAGAAGCCACACAACATGATCCGCACGGGGCTGGCGTGGATGCTGACGTCTACAGGTGAGGAGGGTGGGCGCTTGTCCGCAACGCGGTTCAATAGGACGCCAGCGTGCGACTGTGGTCGTCCAGGACAGACCGTAGTACAACGTGTAATGACGCAATGCCCCGATCCGTGAATATGAAGGAGACAAAGCGGTGATGACAGTCTCGGCTGCTCCTGCTGACCCGGTTGTTGTCTGGGCTTGACCACCTGAATGCGAATTTGTAGCTGTGGCTCTGAGTCTACGTTAGCAGCCGCACGCGAAAGAAGAAAAAATAGGACGACAGATACTGCACCGGTGTCTCCACGACCTCTCCAAATCCCACTTCCGCCGAACGCCCACATCTCCCAAAATGCCGCACATCAACCGATGTTTCTCTTATCTCATGAAATCCCTCGCCTCCACGCTCCGGACGACCCAAAATACCGCCGCCAGGCACCTCAACCGCACCCGAGGCCTCGTCAGCGAAACACTCGGATCCCTCCGCAGGTTCCTGATCCAATCCCAAATCGTCTTCAACGTCTCCAGCGAGTTCCTCCGTCGACTCACCCCGCCTACCCCTCCCCTCTCATCTCACCCCACCTACCCCTCCCCTCTCATCTCACCCCGCCTACCCCTCTCATCTCACTCTCCTCCCCTCTCATCTCACTCTCCTCCCCTCTCATCTCACTCTCCTACCCCTCCCCTCTCATCTCACTCTCCTACCCCTCCCCTCTCATCTCACTCTCCTAGCCCTTCCCTCTCATCTCACTCTCCTAGCCCTTCCCTCTCATCTCACTCCACTTCCTACAACGCACTCTCCTGCCTCTCCACTTTCATCTCAATCCTCTCAACCCAACCACGCACTCTCCTACCTCTCCCCTCTCATCTCACTCTACTACTTGCCACGCAGTCTCCAACCCCTCCCCACTCATCTCACTCCTCTCCCCACCCATCTCACTCCTCTCCCCACCCATATTACTCCTCTCCCCTCCACGTGCTTTCCTACCGCTCCCCTCTCATCCTTACTCCACTCCCCTCCCAGCCACTCTCCAGTCAACCATTGTCCAGTGGGAGTTCGCTACTTTTCTTCTGCTGCTGCCATGGCCTGGGACTTTCCCCACTGTCTGTGCTGTCCGACTCCCTGCCCCTTGTACAAGTTGGAGGCTCAAGACCTTCCTCTCCTGCCCTGCGTCTGACTGACTGCCTCTCTCTGTAACATAAAACATGCCCACCCCTTCTACATAACATCCTGATGCAGTCCCCATTGAGACGAAAGTTCACCAGCATCGAGTAATCCACGTGTGGATTTTGGAACTGATGAGCCCCCCACTAAGTCGGCGGTTGCTGTTTTGGCTCCGGGCGCCACCCGTGGGCGCTCCGTGCCGAGTAGTGAGTGCACGGGAGCCATCTGTTAAGAGTCGTGTGCCTGAACGCACGGCATGGATTGTGAATCGCTGCATCGGGATCAAGCGACGGGCAGGCACGTACACGGAAACCAGAAGTTAATTGTAGACTTACATCTTCTTTGGTTATTTAGATAAAGTCACGGAGATAGAAAAAATAAAAATATCTCGACGTTTCAATCGCAACACAAGTGGTCGTCATCAGGAAAAGGGATTAGCCTCGGAAGGAAAACTGTTTATAAAGGTTTGGAGATGGGCGTAGCCCAAGTGTCTTAGCAGTACCAGGAGCATGGGCGGGGCAGCAATGCCAATGCAGCAGCAATGCCAAGGCGGCAACAATGCCAAGGCAGCAGCAATGCCAATGCAGCAGCAATGCCAATGCAGCAGCAATGCCAAGGCGGCAACAATGCCAATGCAGCAACAATGCCAATGCAGCAACAATGCCAATGCAGCAAAGGGCCGCCAAGAAATCACTGTACCCCGCTCCACACACCACACTGCTGACGGTGGAGTCTATAACCTTCCTCTCGGTTGAAATTGTCTCCGTGTCTGTATATGGATGGCTTCATGAACGAATCTTTGTTGATAGCCAGTAGGCTTGCAGAGTACCATCGTCTTAGAGAAATACATTTTGTGTGAGCCAGCCGCATTAAAGTGATGATCAGCCACGGCAGAAGTATTGATCCTACCGTGTTTCAGATCTGCCTTGTGTTCACGAACATGGTCCGAGACATGTCGCTTAGTTTCCCCAATGTAACTGCTGCCACAGATACAGCTTAGTTTGTAGACGCCGGGATATTGCATGTCAGGAATCTTGTCCTTCACAGATGGGATCAGATCACGAATTTTATGTACTGTATTAAATCGGACCTGGAGCTTGTGTTTGTTCATGATTTTGGAAATCTTTTTGGTGTGGCAGGGTGATGTTTTTGATTGGATCCTCAGATGGCTCCTTCCTCACGTTTGAGGTGATGGTAGACTTACAGTATGTGTACTACTGTACTGTCCCTGTCTCCACATATCCCCGTGTTCCTTTATCCTCACATTCCCATGTCCCTGAACCCCCATGTACCTGTGCATATCTCATTATGTCGCTATGTCCAGTCTGTCCCCATGTCCTTGGATGATGGGAATGATGATTTGTCCAATGTGTACTTCTTTCTCCGTGTCCCTGTGTCCTTCCGTCTCCGTCTGTCACCATGTCCCCTCGCCTGTCTTCTCGTGTCTCCGTGCCACCTTGTCTCCGCATCGCCGCGCGTCGCCGTGTCCCCAAGTGTCCTCGTGTCTCTGCATCTTCTGTGTCCTCACGTCCCCGTGTGTCCCCGTGTGTCTCTGTGTCCCCATGTCCAGGTCCAGCAGTTACCGCCCATATCGACACGGGAGGTTTCGTTCGCTCAGAGCCAGGGGTTCGACACCCGGACCTCCAGTTCCACTTCATACCGGGGGAAGTCATCAACCACTTCCAAGAGAACTCCACCATGGAGGCCTTCCAGGTGCTGTAGAATCTCCACGTTACCACGGTGGAGCCCTGTATCATGAATTTAACTGATGCAAATGGCCGCTGTTAACTCCCCTCCACAGCATAGCTACGAAGAGGGGGCAAATTGGACTGGGGGGGTGCGCGGCGGTTTATTATTTCCACCAGGGCCCAAGCCAACACTTTGCATTGCTCCCCTGAGCACTGCCACCTCAACGTGAGCTTCCCTAACACAACGTGGCAGGTCGGATCTTAGGGGCACCACGTTGGCGAATTCGATTCTGACCCTGAAGATGCGTGCTGTATGTTTGGAGTTTGCATCTCTCTCTCTCGACATCATCACAGTGGCTAGGAGATGTTAACTACCTCGCCTTGTATGCAGGAGGTCGTTGGGTTCCATCCCGTGGTTTTGTGGAGTTTTCTCGGGGTCCTCCAGTTTTTCTCTCCACATTTAAAATCAACTTTGTTTGTTTAGAGTATTTGGCTGCAATACATTTCCACTTGATAAGCCACTTCGTTGAGCTAGCAGTTGTGGCCAGGTCACTTCTGAAAAAGAGCTGTATAGCTCAGTGAGCCTTACCTGAATAGGAATGAGCCTTACCTGGTAAAATAAAAAAAACGTTAGTTATTGAAAATACGTCTTGAGACTCGACGATGCTTGATCGAGAGAGTACGAAAACTTAACTTGCGTCCTCCATTACCGTCACCAGGTCAGCGTGTGTGCACTGCGGCCGCAGAGCCGCGGGTGGGTGGAGCTGAAGTCCACCAATCCCCTGGATGCACCACTGATCCAGCCCAACTACCTGAGCACAGGTGAGGGAGGCATGGCAGCAGTTAATCCCACGCACTCCCACATAGTGTTGTCCGTGGGAGTGAGCGGGAGAGGAAGGGGCGCGGTTTTCGTGGTTTGGCGAGTTTTGGTGTCGGGGACCGCGAGCGGCCACGGCGGTGGCAGACTCCCGCTGTTGGTGCCGGTGACGATTTGTGAGGCGGGCGAGCATCAAGGACGCCGCCGGCGACCCGAGGAGGCGCGGTTCGGCACTGATAGTTCGGCGTGACGTCGGCACGCAACTCCCTGTCCTGTTTCCCCGGCCCCAAAAACGAATGTGATGTCATCCATGACAGACGACATCACATTCGTTCATTCCTTAATTTATTTAATTCGCTAATTCGTTGAAGCTGTCAACTCCTTCCGTGCGGAGCGTCGGCATGCTGAGGTGCGGCGCAGGGCGTATTGTTTTTGGGAGGCTGTGCGGCTCCGTTGGTCCCGTTCAACCGCCTGGTTAAACGAAGCCACGGGAACGTGGCTCCCACTCAACCGCGCAGGAAGGAGGTGGCGCCGACCGATGAGGGGCAAGTCCCGCCGCCACGAGGCCCCTTTCCGATCCACAGTGTTTGTGACGCAACGAGTCGCAGCGTCACAACGCACGTTCCCGCATGGGATAAATTGCGTGGCGGGACACGGGCTTTACGTTTGCCGAGACGCCCATTTGCGAAGGGAAAAAATCGTGGATGTGGGTGTTTTTGCCACGCTGCCGCTGGATGATCCGACAGTGGCGTTGGACCCTCGGGAATTGTGCCCTAAATCTAGATTGAAAATCTAAATGAAAAACGAATTTATTTTAGAAGCGATTTTTGTGTTTAGTTGTCCTTCCCCCCCGGTGCACCTCCAATTGGTACCGTCGGCTACGTACGGTGAAAAATAAGTTCAACATACATACTAAATCGGTTGATGAAGTGGTGCTGCTGCTGATGCCGCCCACGTGAACCGCAGACAGAGACGTGTGGGAGATGCGGCGCTGCGTGGAAGTCGCCCGAGACGTCGTTTCGCAGCGCGCCTTCGGACCCTATCGCAGTGGAGAGGTCGCGCCGGGACCTGGGGTGAAGACGGCGGCGGAGGTGGACGCGTGGGTTCGCACCCAAGCCGAGACGACCTACCACCCTTGCGGAACGTGCCGCATGGGCGGGCGGGAGGACGCCGCCGCGGTGGTGGACGAGTTCGCTCGCGTCCGAGGGGTGAGCGGCCTGCGGGTGGTCGATGCGTCGGTGTTCCCGAGCGTGCCCAGCGGCAACACCAACGCGCCCACCATCATGGTGGCGGAGAGAGTGGCCGACCTCGTGCGGGGCCGCGAGACGTTGCCGCCGAGCCACGTGCCGGTGTACGTCGCCGGCGACGATCGCCAATGAGTGGCGAAAACCAGCTGCTGTCTGGCAGGCAAGCGGGCGATGTTCGGGGTCTTTGTAACCGCGTTGCATTGATGAGCTTGTGATCGAAGTGAAACTGGCTAGCAGGTGAAAATCAAATGAAGCCACGGACATGCAAAGGGCTCTTGCAAACACTGAAAGCTGATCGCCTTTATTGCGTTTTTTTGCTTTTTCATGAACCTCAAATTATCCTCATGGCGGTACCCCGGGGTACCAAATAAAACAAAATGGCCGAGGCAACTAAAGATGTTATTTCTGGGACACTTTTTTTCCCAGGGGTGTAACTTAACTCCGCGACTGGGGTACCAATCAATCCGAAACCAGTGCTACTCCGCGATGTCGAAACGCAGCGAGGACGATGATTGCGCCGAAACCCTGAACGCTCGCACGCACCGTAGTGGTGCATCGTGAGTACAGCTCGTCGAGATGAGTCGATTGCCGCATCGCTGACCATCAACAGACTAAATGCATCACAGACATTATGCGAGAGCCGGGGTACCACCTTGAGGTTCATATTGTGCACTGGCTCATGCCTTGCAAACTTATATTCTGTATTCAGCCATCGATTCATGATTTCGTTTTCATTTGCATAAATAGTATCAAGTATTCTTTGAGTCTTTCAGTAAAGTCACAAGTATCAAGTAGTCTTCAGACCAATTGTCAAGTTGCATGTTGAACGTTTTTCGCACCGTACGAAGCCAACCGTGCTGATCGGAGGTGCCTATTTGATGACTGGTGCTCTGATTTGTAATAAATTTAAAATCAGATGCATGCGGCTCCGGAGCCGAAGGTTCCCGACCCATGCCCTAGAGCAGTGGTTTATCAACCCTTGGTGAGCTACTGTACCCAGCTTTGTTGAATTTTGTCGCAAACGAGTATCCCCCCCACCCCCCACCCTTGCCTGACCCAACACGTTTCTGAAAAATAAATGCGTGAATAACGAACAACAATGTGTTAACCACCAATTTTCAAATCCGTTCACGCTCGCCGTTTGGTCGATGTAAACCGACATTATTTATAATCAGCGAGTCTTCGATATCGCTCTAGGTTACCATATGGATGTAAAACCGCTGCCACCACCGATCACGTGGTGGCAGTGCTTGTTGAAACCAGTTTTATGTTTTGCCTTTTGTGGCTGCCGCATTGTCCTTCACCGCACTTCCGATTCGCACAGTTGGCTGCGTACGGTGCCAAAGAAGTTTAGCACACTCAACAAAACCGAGTTTAGCGCACGTATGGAAGTGTCCGTAGCAACAACAACAACCCGCCATAATTAACCTATAAATGAGGGGGATGGCTTGCGAGTTGCCACAGTGGTAGCGTAGTGGTCAGCAGCACGCCACTGAACTTCGATCCCAGAAGTCACCGTTCAACTTCAATCTCCCGGTGCGGCAGTTGTTTAAACAATGGTGGGGGAGGGGGGGGGCAATTTTCTCAACTCCCCCCCCCGATCTCTCACCACCCAGCAGCACCAGCAGCTGCGTCCATGGGTTCACCACAGTGTTAGTCTACCAGCTGGGTACATCTGGTGGGGCGGAGTTTGCACTGCCGCCACAACCTCCATTCTCCACTCTGTTGGCTCCTGCACCCTTCCCGGCTCAGCGGGAAGCGCCGAGTAACATGACTCGGCATACGCGGCAATGGCAGCAGCTGAAGCAGCAGCACGTTTTGCCAAACCTCCACCGAGTTTCTCTCCGTTGCTTCTGCGTCCACGAGCGAGACTCACAACAGTAGGGAGAATAAAACGAGTGCCACTTTGTACAGGACGCAGCCCTGCAATCGCTTGCTCATGCCACTGCTGGGGCCTCCTCCACGATGGTAGAGGGTTTTTGGTCTGTTCTTCCATGCCGGCCGGTACCATCTTGGGTAAAGGCGGTAGTCATCCACATTTCACCCCACCGCTTCCACCACCAACACACGTGACTCCCAACCATCGATTTAAACTGTTGCTAGCACCAGCCCGCCGTGTGGCTGCCGCTGCCTCCACGCTCGGCTGTGGTTCTTCCCAGCGCCTCTGAATCATCCTCTCTCTCTTTCGAGCGCGGGGAGAGAACGCTGTGGGACAGCGGCGGCGCATTTTAAGTTGAGTTCATCTTTTTCCCACGAGGTAGGGAATTCCACAGGGTGAGAGCCTTGTTTGTAGTCACCCCCTGGGAATGCTTTAGCGAGCCCTCTGTGGCAGTGGGGTGAAGCGGTTGGGGATGGGCGGTCGGGAACAAGAATATCCTCATGGTCGCGGGGGTCACTGGTCATGCAGAGCTTCCGCTTGCGTCGAAGATGAGCGCATCAGCCGGCCGAGCGGTGCGACGATCTTTGAATGCTTCGGTGATTCACCGTGGTCCAGACTTTACGAGGGGAAGTGAGAAACCCCAGGAGGGGGGGGGGGTGAGGGGAGGGGTTCAGCTGAGTGTTATCGGCACTGTGGAGGCAGTGAGGGTTGGTGGATCGTACGCACGTGTGGAACTCCCCCTCTACCTGTGATCGCCGAGCATTGCTGTGCCCTGGCTTAGGGTCAGGGGACGATGGCAGAGCAGCAAGAAGGATTAATTTCCATCTGTAGGGGGATTGGGTATTCATCCCCCCCTCTCGCACGTTTGTGGTTTTCTCTGGGTGCTCCATTTTAACTCCCGCATGTTAAAAACACTCATTGAATGATAAACATCCCAAACATAGGATCACAGTACTTGGGCAATTGTTGTGAGCGACGGTTTTTGGCTTTGCCGTCCCCTCTTGCGTGCGGTTTACCGTGCGGCCTCTGAATATTTCTCTGAATCACTCACTCCGAATCAATCCCTCAATCGTTCTCCGAGACCAAACGAAAACTTCACGCAGCAATGCGACAGAACTCGACTAGGTAGCGAGAGAACAACTTAGATCTGCAACAGGGTTCCTCGTGGCCGCGCTCTTTGAGTGCAGGTGGCCCGGGTTCGAACCACACTCAGAACTTTCTCCGGCGATATTTACAAATTGACGCGATGACGCCACAGCGCGATGGTGCCGCGTCGTCGGAAGTAGGAGGTGAGGATGAGGGAGGAAATGACATCACAAGGAGGTGGTGAGGGTGTTGTGGGGGAGCTGACGTCACGGGGAGGAGAGGAAGAGGCAGGAAGTGACACCGTGGGAGCTTGCAGGCTGTGAAAAATCTGGCAGAAGGAAGCGGTGACCGCTAGCCGTGAAGTATGGTCCAGCATCAGTTCTCCGCGGTCACGTGGCCACTCCCCCAACCGCCCTGGCAACGGCGGTGAGGGTGAAAGGTGGAGGGGCGTAGGTTAACCCGAAGGTGCCCTGGAGGACAGGGCTTCGTGGGGCCGAGTCGGGGCTGTGGGGGGCGGAGCTGGTGAAGGTGAACTCTTGCATGAGTGCGGAGAAAAAGAGGAAGAGTTCGACGCGAGCGAGAGATTCACCTAGACAGGAACGGCGACCTGCACACGCGCAGAGACACAGCACAGACACGGGGAAGGGGAGGGACACAGCCGTTGCGCATCTCTCCAAGAGGTCGCTTGAAGAAGGCACCAAGACACGAGAAGGTCATTCGGCCAGGGTGACGGACTTTCACGGAGGAAACCCACGCAGAACCGCGGGAGAACATGCAAACTCCACACACACACACATATATACCGTCACACACTTATTCACTCGGACTGACGTGCCACGCTAGCCACACCATACCGAGGGTCACCCACACTGCCCGGTGCCAGGCTAGGTGCACTCACCGATGCCGAAGGGCATGAAGGCGTCCCTCCTGCGCAGGCGGCCGTGGGGGTCGAGGAACCTCTCGGGGTCGAAGAGGAGTGGCCGGGCCCAGACGCGGGGGTCCACGTGGCACGCCCACAGGTTCAGCAGCACCACGCTGCCTCGGGGTATAGTGAACCCCCGCAGCTCTGCACACAGACAAAGTTCGCCCGTGTAGCCCACGCAGTACATTGGGGCAAGTGCTGTTAGCGAGTATCAGCACCTCCTAAGGCCTGCACGGCGCACGAGGGGGTAATGTGGCCAACACGACTATGCCAGCTGGGCCACCTTTGTCTCCCCAGTGCTGGTGTTTTGCACATGCCGCACCAAGAACTGATTTTTTAGGCTAAGTCGATAGAGGGGAGGCCCAGAACTGGTTCAAATAATCGTCACTGGTGTTGGTGGCCGTGAGCGGAAATCAAACTCGGTTGTTTGCCGGGTATTTAGCGCAGTGTAGTAACCACTGCGCTTCCACTCCCCGCACAAAGATCCCCCATGCAGTCTTTGTTGGGGCAAGTGCGGTTAACGAGCACCTTGAAGGCCACCCATGAGTAGGGCTTGCACGGCCAGCACCACCACGTTCGCCCAGCCATTTTTGTCTCCCCAATGCTGATGTTTTACACACATCGCACAAGGTACTCATTTGAGACTGCGTTGACTTAGGGGAGGCCCAGGACCGGTTAGAATATTTTCAGTTATTGGATGTGAGCAGGAATCAAATGCGAGTATTTGCCGGGTTCGTATCAAAGTGCAGCGCTAATCACTGCACTACCGCTCCCCACTTTGCAATACGCAGACACCTTAACACATACACAGTGTACATGCACCTGCACACGTGTGTGTGTATACGTACGCACGGAGCGGGTGGCCGAGTGGGGGATGGCGAGCGGCACCACGGAACTCAGCCTCTGCACTTCCATGATGGTGGCGACGGTGAGCGGGAGGCGCGGGCGATCGCTCAGAGACACGCGGCGCCCACGGCCGACCACCGCGTCGAGCTCGGCCTGCACGCGCGCTGAGACGTGGGGACACGGAGACGCTCCCTCACCAGCACACTCACGCACCCCTTTACTCGGCCACCTACTCACTCAGCCATCCACTCACCCATTCGTTCACCAACCCACTCAAGCATTAATTCACCCACCAAATGCACTCGCTCTCATTCACCCACTTATTCATCCGCTCAACCTTTCATTCACCTGCCTACTCGCACACACCCACTCATTCACCCACCCGCCTGCGCATTTGCCGACTCATTCAACCACCCACTCGTTCACCCGCCCACTCTATTACCCGCTCACCCGTCCGCTCACCCCCCCGCTCACCCTGCACGGCCGGGTAGGTGCACATGAGGAGGAGGCACCACAGCAGAGTGTTGGCCGTCGTGTCTGTCCCGGCAATGAAGAGGTCGGCGACGATGTAGAAGAGGTCATCGGCATCCAGCACTCCCCGGGTCCCTCCTGGAGCCTCCCCTCCTCCCTCCTCATCGTCGTCGTGGCCTCCGTGGGACTCGACGAGAAAGGCGTCGATGAAGTCGCGGGGGTTTGCGGGATCCAGGGTCTCCTCGTGCTCACGGATTATCCCCTTGGAGAGGCGGGGGTTCACAATGGCCATGTGGGTGGGTTCACAGTGGCCGTGTCAGTGGGTGGGTTCACAATGGCCATGTCAGTGGGTGGGTTCACAATGGCCATTTGGGTGGGTTCATAGTGGGTGAGGCGAATAGTTTCAGCACATGGTTTGTGTCTTGCCTTGGCCAGAAAGGGTTTCCTATAATTGCTAGGTGTCTTCTATTGGGTTAGTGGGTGGGTGAATAGGTGAGTATGTGGGTAAGAGTGTGGGTGAGTGCCCCTAGACTGGACCGCACAGCAATCATCCCCGCCCTCCCCCATTACTGGCAGACTAATGCGCAGAGACAGCTGCCACTGGAGGTGCCCCAGACTAGACCACGCAGCGGCAAAGGCAGGACCCCCCCTGACAAGACCGTCGCGAGACTCGGCGGGGCTCTCCGGACCTTGAGGAAGCGGGACACCTCGTCCACGGTGGAGAAGAGCTCCCGGAACGGACCGCACGGCAGACAGCGGAGCGCCGGCACGACGTTGATCAGCATGGCCGGGCTGTTGGACGCCAGCTCCATGCCGCGCACCATCAACCGCAGGGCACGGCGGAATCCGGCGCAGCCTTCATCGCCGTCCTCGCCGCCGCCGCCGCCGCCGTCGTCGTCGTGGTAGTGGTGGGAGAAGCAGAGGCCGCAGATGACGTTGGCGACGGCGCCGTGTGTGAGCGGCGCCGGGGAGAAGGGGGTGGCCACCCCCCCCGAACGCGACGCAAGCGTGCGGAGCAAACTCGACACCTCCCGCTCCACGCGTGCCTCCAGCAGCCAGGGGGAGGTGGGCCCGGGGGAGGGGATGGAGCAAGATTCGGATCTGGATTCGGTTGTTGTGGTTGCAGTTGCGAGTCCAGCCCCGAATCGGCGCAACGCCGCGTGAGAGAAGCGGCGGTGGCGCTGCCAGGTGGCCCCCAGGGGAGCGAACACGATGCCTACGGTGTGGGGCGATTCGAGGAGAGAGGGCCACCACCACCACCACCACAACATGACCAACAACCACTCGCCTAACAACACTCCCATCACAAAGGCTGGACTATTTCAGCTCCATCTGCTGTCTTCACAATCGCCATAATCTGCCGCCTGTACCACCACTGCGCCTCTCCTCTCGATCGTCCACCATTCTCACGCATCGGCACGATGGCGATGTCGACCTAGGGGAGGCCCAGGACTGGTTCTGATATAATCATCACTTGTCTCGGGTTATTCGCGCAGCGTGCTCACCACTACACTGTCACTCCCCACCAAATCACTCATTTCGCATTTACTCACACAATCAACTACACCGTGTGCGTGGCCTTACAAGGAAACATAAATAGGTGACGTTTCGGGCAATACCCCTTCTTCATAGGGAGGCCAGAGAGACAGTGGACGCTAAGAGCTGGAGACTGCACCTGTTTACAGCATTGGGGCCTGACGAGAATCACATTCTACACACGAGTGTCTCCTGATTCGCCGTTAAGCAATCGGCGTACGGCTAAGTCTACGCATCCCCGTGAGTCTCTGGCTCTCAGTGGCTCCGTAAGCGAAATCTATCGATGGTCTCTGTGCGAGTCCAAGTATCTATGCACCCACGCGCACGCTTGCGCTATGCACGCACCGCGTACTCGCTGTTGCTGCACGGGGGGCAGCTGCCACTGGGGGAGGGGGGGGCTGAGCCTCTCCTCACCCTTGCGCTGGGTGACGAGGCGGACGAGGGGCAGGTCCGGGCGGCCGGCGAGAGCCTCGGGGTGGTGGCCCAGCGCCTCCCTCACGGCGGTGGCGCCGCTCAACACCACGACGGGCGGGCGGCCCGCGACCGTGGCGATGCTCATCACGTCGCCATGGCGACGCGCCAGCTTCTCCAGCGCAACGTGCAGCAGCCCTCCCGCTGCCGTGGCAACAGGGCACCGCGTCGAACACTAACTACGCGCAGCAATACCTCGGGGTTGCCGTGGCAACGAGGCACCGCGTCGAACGGTAACTACGCGCAGCAATACCTCGGGGTTGCCGTGGCAACGGGGCACCGCGTCGAACGGTAACTACGCGCAGCAATACCTCGCGGCTGCCGTGGCAACGGGGCACCGCGTCGAACTCTAACTACGCGCAGCAATACCTCGGGGTTGCCGTGGCAACGAGGCACCGCGTCGAACGGTAACTACGCGCAGCAATACCTCGGGGTTGCCGTGGCAACGGGGCACCGCGTCGAACGGTAACTACGCGCAGCAATACCTCGCGGCTGCCGTGGCAACGGGGCACCGTGTCGAACGCTAACTACGCGCAGCAATACCTCGGGGTTGCCGTGGCAACGGGGCACCGCGTCGAACGGTAACTACGCGCAATACCTCGCGGCTGCCATGGCAACGGGGCACCGCGTCAAACGGTCGGTAGCTAAGTAACGCAGACCTTGATGGCACGGGAACGGGGCAGCACGTCAGTCGGTGGGTGACTGCGTGAAGCCACCACGTTGAGCATTGACACCTCGTCCATTGGTAACGAAGCACACCTGCCGCTGTCAGGGCAACAGGGCACCGTGTCGAACAGTCGGTAACTTGGTAAAAGTAGACCTGCTGCCGTGGTAACGGGGCACTGCGTCAAACTACCACCGAAGTCAAGGCGCCACCAACCAAAAATCGATGACAGAAATGTACAAAGTCGTGGTTATCGCGATAATCGTCACGGCGAGGCTAGTGGGGGATACTTGAGTTCCCCCTCACCTTCACCCCCCTCACCTTTGCGGTTCTCCCACCACAGCGTGGGGAGCGCCCCCACGAGGGGCCACGCCCGCGGGCCGGGGGGGAGAGGCCCCCCGGGGGCCGCGGGTCCCCGGCGTCGGAGCCAGAGAGCCGAGAGGAGCGCCGAGGCGACGGAGACGAGGGCGGCGAGGAGGAGGAGAGGAGACATTGGCGCGAGTAGCCCCCAAGGCACTTTGGCGGCCTCGGTTACCCACGGGCGAGCTGATACTAAAAGCGACTTTTGGATGCGCTTCTGCGGCCGTCTGGAACGCTCTACCGATATTAGCAAGCCGCTGGGAGTAATGCACTTTTAAATCATCTAGATTGACAAACCCATGTATTTAGAACCGCTGTTTGTGTTTTGGTCTCCTTCCCCTGTAACTCCGATTAGCACGGTTGGTTTTACGTACGTTGCGATAGAAGTTATACAAAGCCAAAGATCCCCCGTATAGCCTGAACAGAATGTTGGGGCAAGTGCTGTCACCGAGTAGCACCTATGAGGGCCGGCACGGCACGCGAAGAGGGGGGTGGCCAACACCTCGCCAGTCCAGATCCGAGCGCTGCCTGTCGCCCTACAACCGTGTCTCTAATCCTGGCTCTAGAGCTGAGACTCCCTGGCTCTACAGCTGAGACTCTATCCCTGGCTCTAGAGCTGAGACTATCCCTGGCTCTAGAGCTGAGACTCTATCCCTGGCTCTAGAGCTGAGACTCTATCCCTGGCTCTAGAACTGAGACTCTATCCCTGGCTCTACAGCTGAGACTCCATCCCTGGCTCTAGAGCTGAGACTCTATCCCTGGCTCTACAGCTGAGACTATCCCTGGCTCTACAGCTGAGACTATCCCTGGCTCTAGAGTTGAGACTCTATCCCTGGCTCTAGAGCTGAGACTCTATCCCTGGCTCTACAGCTGAGACTCCCTGGCTCTACAGCTGAGACTCTATCCCTGGCTCTAGAGCTGAGACTCCCTGGCTCTACAGCTGAGACTCTATCCCTGGCTCTAGAGCTGAGACTATCCCCTGGCTCTAGAGCTGAGACTCTATCCCTGGCTCTAGAGCTGAGACTCTATCCCTGGCTATAGAACTGAGACTCTATCCCTGGCTCTACAGCTGAGACTCCATCCCTAGCTCTAGAGCTGAGACTCTATCCCTGGCTCTAGAGCTGAGACTCTATCCCTGGCTCTAGAGCTGAGACTCCATCCCTGGCTCTAGAGTTGAGACTCTATCCCTGGCTCTAGAGCTGAGACTCTATCCCTGGCTCTAGAGCTGAGACTATCCCTGGCTCTATAGCTGATACTCTATCCCTGGCTCTAGAGCTCAGACTCTATCCCTGGCTCTACAGCTGATACTCTATCCCTGGCTCTAGAGCTGAGACTCTATCCATGGCTCTAGAGCTGAGACTCTATCCCTGGCTCTAGAGCTGAGACTCTATCCCTGGCTCTAGAGCTGATACTCTATCCCTGGCTCTAGAGCTGATACTCTATCCCTGGCTCTACAGCTGAGACTCTATCCCTGGCTCTAGAGCTGAGACTCTATCCCTGACTCTACAGCTGAGACTCTATCCCTGGCTCTACAGCTGAGACAGCTGAGACTCTATCCCTGGCTCTAGAGCTGAGACTATATCCCTGGCTCTACAGCTGAGACTCTATCCCTGGCTCTACAGCCGAGACTCTATCCCTGGATCTACAGCTGAGACTCTATCCCTGGCTCTAGAGCTGAGACTCTATCCCTGGCTCTAGAGCTGATACTATCCCTGGCTCTACAGCTGAGACTCTAATCCTGGCTCTAGAGCTGAGACTCTATCCCTGGCTCTAGAGCTGAGACTCTATCCCTGGCTCTACAGCTGAGACTCTATCCCTGGCTCTGCAGCTGAGACTCTATCCCTGGCTCTAGAGCTGAGACTATCCCTGGCTCTAGAGCTGAGACTCTATCCCTGGCTCTGCAGCTGAGACTCTATCCCTGGCTCTACAGCTGAGACTCTAATCCTGGCTCTAGAGCTGAGACTCTATCCCTGGCTCTACAGCTGAGACTCTATCCCTGGCTCTGCAGCTGAGACTCTATCTCTGGCTCTAAAGCTGAGACTCTATCCCTGGCTCTAGAGCTAATACTATCCCTGGTTCTAGAGCTGAGACTATATCCCTGTCTCTACAGCTGAGACTCTATCCCTGGCTCTAGAACTGAGACTTTATCCCTGGCTCTAGAGCTGAGACTCTATCCCTGGCTCTAGAGCTGAAGACTATCCCTGGCTCTAGAGCCGAGACTATCCCTGGCTGTAGAGCTGAGACTCTATCCCTGGCTCTACAGCTGAGACTCTATCCCTAGCTCTAGAGCTGAGACTATCCCTGGCTCTACAGCTGAGATTCTATCCGTGGCTCTACAGCTGAGACTCTATCCCTGGCTCTACAGCTGAGACTATCCCTGGCTCTACAGCTGAGACTACCCCTGGCTGTTTCGCTGGGTCTCGGCTCAACTCGTACCCACGTGGTGTCCACCAAAGCCACGGGGTGGGGCTTGTTGTGACGTGACGCCATCAGCATGCGCGGCCTCGCCCGGTCTCTCGTCTCAGGTCACGGGCATCACGATCCTGAGCGTCGCAGTCGCTCTCATATAGCATATGTACTATACTGTATCATATTTTAATACAATATAACATTCAGCATAATACCATGCTGTGCTATGTTATTATACTACTATGTTGTACTATGTGAATATAGTTGGGTAACGTTAGGGGACATTCACTTTGGAGTCTAGTCCGTGTGTTGAAGGTAATCCACTCCGTGTTTTTTGCAGTTCGTGTGTTGTATTAAATCCACTCCGTGTGCTGTATTGAATCCACTCCACGTTCTGTATAGAATCCACTTAGTGTTGTGAACTCAATCCACTCCACGCGGATTGGTCCTGGTTATTGTCTAGACGTGTAAAAAAAACCTCTGAACTGGCATTCGTCCTGGGTTATTATCTAGAGGTAAACCACCTCTGTACTGACACTTATCCTGGGTTATTATCTAGAGGTAAATCCCCTCTGAACTGACATTGATCCTGGGTTATTATCTAGAGGTAAACCACCTCTGAACTGACATTTATCCTGGGTTATTATCTAGAGGTAAACCACCTCTGAACTGACACTTATCCTGGGTTATTATCTAGAGGTAAACCACCTCTGAACTGACACACATCCTGGGTTATTATCTAGAGGTAAACCACCTCTGAACTGACACATCCTGGGTTATTATCTAGAGGTAAACCACCTCTGAACTGACACTGATCCTGGGTTATTATCTAGAGGTAAACCACCTCTGAACTGACACTTATCCTGGGTTATTATCTAGAGGTAAACCACCTCTGAACTGACACTTATCCTGGGTTATTATCTAGAAGTAAACCACCTCTGAACTGACACTTATCCTGGCTTATTATCTAGAGGTAAACCACCTCTGTACTGACACTTATCCTGGGTTATTATCTAGAGGTAAATCCCCTCTGAACTGACATTGATCCTGGGTTATTATCTAGAGGTAAACCACCTCTGAACTGACATTTATCCTGGGTTATTATCTAGAGGTAAACCACCTCTGAACTGACACTTATCCTGGGTTATTATCTAGAGGTAAACCACCTCTGAACTGACACACATCCTGGGTTATTATCTAGAGGTAAACCACCTCTGAACTGACACATCCTGGGTTATTATCTAGAGGTAAACCACCTCTGAACTGACACTGATCCTGGGTTATTATCTAGAGGTAAACCACCTCTGAACTGACACTTATCCTGGGTTATTATCTAGAGGTAAACCACCTCTGAACTGACACTTATCCTGGGTTATTATCTAGAGGTAAACCACCTCTGAACTGACACTTATCCTGGCTTATTATCTAGAGGTAAACCACCTCTGTACTGACACTTATCCTGGGTTATTATCTAGAGGTAAACCACCTCTGAACTGACATTGATCCTGGGTTATTATCTAGAGGTAAACCACCTCTGAACTGACACACATCCTGGGTTATTATCTAGAGGTAAACCACCTCTGAACTGACACACATCCTGGGTTATTATCTAGAGGTAAACCACCTCTGAACTGACACACATCCTGGGTTATTATCTAGAGGTAAACCACCTCTGAACTGACACATCCTGGGTTATTATCTAGAGGTAAACCACCTCTGAACTGACACTGATCCTGGGTTATTATCTAGAGGTAAACCTCCTCTGAACTGACACTGATCCTGGGTTATTATCTAGAGGTAAACCACCTCTGAACTGACACTGATCCTGGGTTATTATCTAGAGGTAAACCACCTCTGAACTGACACTTATCCTGGGTTATTATCTAGAGGTAAACCACCTCTGAACTGACACTGATCCTGGGTTTTTATCTAGAGGTAAACCACCTCTGAGCTGACACTTATCCTGGGTTATTATCTAGAGGTAAACCACCTCTGAGCTGACACTTATCCTGGGTTATTATCTAGAGGTAAATCACCTCTGAACTATATTCATAATCTTAGTTCTTTCGGTAAAGTCACGTTGAAGGGAAACAACAAAATAATCAAATATATAGTCACGTTGAAGGGAAACAACTAAATAATAAAATATATATTTGATTATTTTGTTGTTTCCCTTCAACGTGACTTTACCGAAAGAACTAAGAATATGAATTACTGCAGTCACGAAAGCTTTAAATCAAAATTTATATTCATATTCTTAGCTTTTTCGGTAAAGTCACGTTGAAGGGAAACAATAACGTGATAATTTTTATTGTTTTATATATATTTTATTATTTTATTGTTTCCCTTCAACGTGACTTTACCGAAAGAGCTAAGAATATGAATTACTGCAATCACGAAAGCTTTAAATCAAAATTTCACCTCTGAACTGACACTTATCCTGGGTTATTGTCTAGAGGTAAATCCCCTCTGAACTGACACGCGCCTCGAGTTACCACGCCCCGCGGGCCGTGACGTCACGCGCCACCCGGAAGAGGAGGCAAGCGCTGTTTGGTGGGCGGGCGATCGAGAAGCCAACATGGCCAAGAGCTACGACTGCCTCTTTAAGCTGCTCCTCATCGGGGACAGCGGCGTGGGCAAGACCTGCGTGCTCTTCAGGTTCTCCGAGGACGCCTTCAACTCCACGTTCATCTCCACCATCGGTGGGTCGCGGCCGGTCTGCCAGGGAAGCGCGTGGTGGTCGCTTCTTGTCCACGGTTGTTCGGGGTAACGATCGCTGTATGGCGGCGGTGGCGGTGGCGGCGGGGCAGGGCGGGTGAGTTAAAGTTTGGGCGAACTCGGCCCCGGCCTGGGATTGTTCAAAGTAAGTGGGTTTAAACTGCCGTTGGCTGGCCCATGGCGAGTGATGGTTGTGGTGTGTGCGACTAAATGGGCGTCGCATTTATTGGTGGGCGAGTGTTGTGAGGTTAAGTGAAACTTTTGACGACCTTTGTCCCGGCCTGGTAACGTTCAAAGTAAGTTAATTAAACCGTCTCCGCCACAGTTGGTTATCTGGTGGCGAGAGATGGGGGGGGGGGGGCACCGTGGTTGTCAATGGACGCAAGTTAATTGGTGGGTCGGAGTGAGGGTTCAGGGGGGTCGTAAAGCGTTGGATGAACGCTGCCCCGGCCTGGTAATGTTCAGAAAAAAATGGGGTGGCGGTTGATGGCGAGGCCTGGCCTGGTTGTTGGTGTCTGTGGTGGATCTGTGGGTGAATGAGAGTGGGGGGAGGAAGCGAAACTATGGGTGGACGCACCTCCAGCCTGGTAGCCTTCAAACTGGAGCTATCAATAGCCTCGACCGGCGGTGTGTGGCGGCTGGTGATGAGCGATAAGTGTGTGCGGTTGTTTGTGAAACTTCTGTTACGCGTGTGGAGTGGGGGTCGGGGAGCGGTGAGCGCTGCGCTACGAACCCGGCGACCCGAAATTACCGCTCACGGCCAACACCAGTGGCGAATATTTGAACCGGTCCTGCGCCTCCTGTAGGTTGACTCAGCCTAAAATGAGTACCGAGTGCGATGTGTAAACATCGCCACTGGGGAGACAAAGGCGGCCGAGCGTGGTGCTGGCCACCCACCCCCACGTGTGCCGTGCCGGCCTTAATAGGTGCTCGCTAACAGCACTTGCCCCAACAGTTTGGTAAGGCTATAGGGGAATCTTTGTCTCTGGGGGTCTTGATACGTGTTGAACCTTGGCTGGACTTTGTCCCGGCATGCTAACGTTCTAAGATAAACTTAAGTGTGGGCGGGGGGTGGCGTTTAATTAATTCCGTACACCAGGGCCCAGACGAACCACGTTATACAGCTGACCTTAATGATGACGTTGTGCTATGTATAATACAGCATTAAGAATGCCTATACACGCTTGGAAGTTCAACCAGCATAGGTTCAATGTAGCGCTGAATGCCAAGTGAGACACTTGACTTGAAATCTGTCCAGAGTTTGGCTGGCTGCGTTGAACCACCGCTGCAGAAATTCTGATTCATAATAAAGGTTTTTGGGTTAGATCACGTTATTTATAAATGTGTCGTAACCCTCCACCACCCGACACGGCCAATCAGCAAAAAAGTGTCACGTTGACAAAAGACAATTAGTCACTACTTTAGCCCACCGGTGTGTTGAGGAGTGAATCCACAACATTTAGTTTGAATACGACGTTTCGCTGGTAATTACATCCAGCATCATCGGGCAATTCGCCAGAATGGTAAAGCCCTCACTTGCTCCCGGTCTTAAATAGAGCAGAAGCAGGGTGACGTCATCATTTAACTCAGTCAGGTGCAGTAATTATATTATCTTTTGGGAAGCAGTCAATATGTTATGATTAGTAATGAGTTGTAGATTCGTAATTAGTTGTAATGTGTGTTATTGTGATTATATGCTACATTAGTAATCCGTTAATTAGTATGTTTCCCCTATAAGGAATTGTCATGTATTATTTAATAATACACTTCCAAGCCGCACTAAGCCTATAGCTATCAGAACGATTAAAGTTATTTGTTTCTCTAAATTTCAATGGATTCTCTAATTAGTCTTTGCCAGTAATAAGTAGTTTTACACACCACTTCAACGTTATCAAAATCAATTGAGTGTCCTTGTTAACAAGCATGTTCTGCCACTGCCGACAGTTGTGTTTGAGATAATTTAATATTTCTTTGGTGTTCTTTTAGTCTTATGCTGATGTTACGTCCCGTCTGTCCAATATAGCATTTGCCACATAAACAATTAATCCGATATACACCTTCTGTTGATAATTTAGGTAATTCGTCTTTAGTGCAAGATTCTAGTTTTTGAATGTTGTGTACTGTACCAAATCTTACTGTAATGTTTTGCTTTTGCAAAACACGGGTTAATTTGTCAGTTACTCCTGAGATATATGGAATTTTAATTGTTTTAACAATCTGATCGCTTTCAGCAGTGTTGCTTTGCGATCGTGATTTGGCATTCAGTGCTCTGTTAATTTGAGTATTATTGTAGCCATTCTGTCGTAATGCCTCTTTAACGTGTTTGATCTCTCTCACTAGACTTTCACCATCTGACACTGTTTTAGCCCGATGTATGAGCGTCTTGATAAGAGAGGATTTCTGAGCTGGATGATGATGCGAATCTGCATTCAGATAGGCATCAGTGTGCGTTTGCTTTCTGTAAACGCTGTGTGTTATTTTACCGTTTAGGCCATGTCCAAGCAAAATATCTAGGAACGGGAGTGTTATTCACCTCCATTTCCATGGTGAACTGGATGGCTGGGTTTTGTGTATTGAGATTATTTAGAAAATCATTAAGTGTATCTTTACCATGTGGCCAGACAACCAAAGTGTCATCCACATATCTAAACCAAAAAGATGGTTTTAACGTGCTCGAGGCAAGTGCTCTTATTTAAAAGTTTTCCATGTACAGATTTGCTATAGCAGGAGATAAAGGAGAGCCCATTACTGCTCCTTCCTTTTGTTTGATTTAGAAAATCATTAAGTGTATCTTTACCATGTGGCCAGACAACCAAAGTGTCATCCACATATCTAAACCAAAAAGATGGTTTTAACGTGCTCGAGGCAAGTGCTCTTATTTAAAAGTTTTCCATGTACAGATTTGCTATAGCAGGAGATAAAGGAGAGCCCATTACTGCTCCTTCCTTTTGTTTAAAGAAATCCCCTCTCCATAAGAAGTAAGTGTTATTTAAAGAATGGTCAGCAAGTTTCGGAATATCTTTTGGTAAACCTGTATTCTTTACTAGTGTATCAAGTAATTTAAGCGATTCGTTCACTGGAACCTTAGTGAATAGAGAAATCACATCAAAACTTACCAGAATATCATTAGGATTAAGTTTAATATCTTTAATCACATTCACAAGATGTTCGCAATTTCTTATGAATGAAGATGCCCTACCGATGTAGGGCTGTATTTGTTTAGTTTTATATTTTGCTAATTTATAAGTGGCAGAGCCAATTGTACTATGGGTCTTAATGGGATGCCGATTTTATTAATCTTTGGTTGCCCATACAGTCTAGGTGGTTTTGAGGCCCTTGGCTTAATTTGGTGTTGCTCATTCTTAGGAATGAATTAATTTGCAATTATTGCAGTAGTCGTACGTTCTAAAGTATTAGTCGGATCTCGTTTAATTTTAATGTAGGTACTTTCCTCTAGTAAATTTCTAATTTTATTATCATAATCGGCTCGTGACATCACTACAGTAGTGCGGCCTTTATCAGCTGCCAGGATTTGGATATCTTTATTTACACGGAGCTCTTTTAAGGCTTTTGCTTCGTTGGAGCTAATATTTACTTTTGGAACTTTGCTATTCTCAATTATTTTGGCAACCTCGTGTCTAGTCATCTCTGCCTCATTATGTGGAAGGAGTCTTACTGCTGATTCTACCTCAGCAATTATCTCATCCACTGGAATTGTGCGTGGGGTAACGGCAAAGTTAAGGCCTTTAGAAAGGACAGAGATCATGTCACTAGTTAAAACAGTGTTAGTCAAGTTAATTACGGTTTTGTTTTTAAATTGTTCGTTTTTAGTAGGGATTTGTTTATTATGAAGTCTAGATTAAACACATTATCAGCCGATTGTTGTGTTATGGTATCGATTATATTCCAATAATGCATGGATACACTATTGCTTATATCTAAGTGTAACTGCTTTAGCGATTCCGAAATGTAACATAATTCACTCCTGTTGTGCTGTATTCTCTCTATTAATAATAATTCGCTAGCTTTGTGTAGTATTTGGTTAGCTTCAGAAGACTTTATGTGATGTGTTATTTTAACTGCGTTTGGTATTACCTTTGAATCTCTGCACCTTTTGCGGAACGCCAATATGATGAATAATATTGGTCGCGAAAGCCTACGTGTTAAACAGAAATTCTGATGTTGTACGTGGGAAGACGGATTTGTTATTTTTGTTATTCGCCCGACATTAGGCCGGCTCAAACGAAGGATGTTTTGACGAGGCAATGGGAAAGCAACATCGTGGAAGACGTTGCGAGTGAACGCAGCACTACTGTGACCACCCTGGGGAGCGGTGGTGTAGCGGTCGCGCTACGCTGCGCTACGAACCCGGCGAACCGAGTTAGATTCCAGCTCACGGCCAACTCCGGTGACGATTGTCTGAGCCGGTACTGGGCCTCCCCTAGGTCGACTCGGCTTTAAATTAGTCCCCGGTGCGGTGTGTAAAAAAACATCGCCACTGGGGAGACAAAGGTGGTCGCGCGTGGTGCTGGCCACCCACCCCCTCGTGTACAGTTCCAGCCTTCATAGGTGCTCGCTAACAGTACTTGCCCCTACAGTCTGTTACAGGCTATATGGGGGATCTTTGTCTTTGATGTGACCCCGTACACGCCCCCCACCCCTCCCCCCCCGTGTGCGGGGTCACAGCAGTGCCGGTCACTTCTGACCCTTGGCGCTTTCTTCAGTAATGATGGCAAATTACTTTGGAGCGTCTTTTTCTTGTTTGCGATTGATTGTGCGTACACACAGAGCCCTCTCAACACTTTGGCCGTGGCAAGTGACCGGACGGTTTTGCTTTGCTCAGTTGAACAGTTTGATTACAGCTTTTGTTCAGGTCAGGAAGATTATAGTTTCGTCTGCAAGGTTGTTGTTCGGAGTCCTATATATACACATCGCCAAGATCATCACTTGAGATGGAACATCTCATTTGCAAGCGTGTCCTGGGCGTCAAGTGACACACCTCGCAAATATGCAATGACTACGACAAAGATCCTCTAGAAAGCCTCAACAGTCTGTTGGGGCAAGTGCTGTGAGCGAGCACCTATGAAGGCCGGCATGGTGAATGAGGGGGTTGGTGGCCAGTATCACGCCCGACCGCCTTTGTCTCCCTAGTGGCGATGTTTACACACCTCACCAGGTACTTACTTGAGGCTTAGTCGACCTAGGGACGTACACATACTCATGCACGCTCGCGCACATACAAATACAACTCGCACACAGGCGCACTCACACAGCAAACATGGAATGACACGTATGCAAATGATTCAAATGTGCAACGTATACAGTATGTACGTTTGTGTAATGAACATTGCACACAGTCCAACACACAAAACAAAATAAATAAATGGCACACTGCGGTTCGTATATAATGCACTCTGGCTGTCAGGGTAGCAGATGTTGTGCAAGAGTTGTATATTTTAGTCTGGGAGATCGTTTCATGTTATGCTTCCACTCGTTTACGCAGGAAAGCCTCACATAATCTCAAGACTCGTGTTCAGGAGGGTCCTGCCAAGTTTTTGCAGTAGGGGGACGATGCTGCTGCTGTATGTGATCCCAATTGAGACATTTGCAGGCGATTTCTCAGCATTGGGATGTAGTTTGGCCAATGTCGGCTACAATGCATGTATATATTGTTTTATATATGGGAGAAAGCCGGACAACTCTGAGGAAACCCACGCAGAACAGGGGAAGATAATGTACAAACTCCACGCTGAGACGCGCCCGAGATGGGAGTCGAACCCAGGTCCTTCTTGCTGCGAGGCATGAGGTGTCACCGCTGCGCCGCCTTCACGCCCCGCCCAAATGGTGGCAGGGCTAGTGTGCACGTGTCTCTGCGAGTCCAAGGTCCAGTATCGAGGAGCCCACCCTCGCATCCACCGCTGGTGAGGTCACTCGGCGGCGAGCTATGCGCAGGGGAGAGCGACATGACAACCCGTTCCATCCAAAGGTTGAACCGAATATTATCTGGCATTTATCCCCCGCCGTGCTCGGTCCACTGATCGCAACCCCGCCACGTCAATAATTCACCCAGCACCTGTGCCTGAGCTGAATTCATGGTCGTGGTCGTCTAATTAAATAAGCGAGACAATTCACCGGCTTCACGTATCAGTCGTAAAAAAAAAAGTCGCTATTACGCATTTCGTCTGGGAGTGCATAATTCCAGCGACGTTGGCCTCAGCACCCTCGTTACAGTCTGAATTAGGTGCTCGCATACAGCGGTTGCCCCAACAGTCTGTTAAAGCTATAAGGGGGGATTTTGGTCTTTGTGTGTGCACGTGTGTGTGTGCACGTGTGTGTGTGCACGTGTGTGTGTGCACGTGTGTGTGTGCACGTGTGTGTGTGCACGTGTGTGTGTGCACGCATCACGGGGGGGGGGGAGCATTAGTGCAACGGTTGGCGCACTACACTACGAACCCAACGACTCGAGTTCGGTTCCTGCTCATGGCCAACACCGGTGACAATTATCTGAACCGGTCCTGTGCCTCCCCTAGGTCTACTCAGCCTCAACTGAGTACATGGTGCGATGTGAAAACATCACCACTGGGGAGACAAAGGCGGCCGGGTGTGGTGCTGGCCACCCACCCCCTCGTCTAGTGTGCCGGCCTTCATACGTGCTCGCAAACAAGACTTGCCCCAAAAGTCACGTCAAAGCTATATGGGTGGTTTTCGTCTTTGTCTTGTGTCAGTGGGAATGTCCGTGTGTGTGCTGCGTGTGCATTGTGGGGTTCCCCCACTGACTCATTTGACGGTTTGTACTCTGACCACTTCACTGGTCGCATAAGGCTGCGTCCCATCGCTCCTTTGTCTGGCGTGCTCCCAGTTTCCCCGTGCCCGGCACGGCGGCGTCGCAGCAGGGGAACGCGTTCTCCGCTTGTCGCAGAGGTTCGCGGTTCAAACCCAGCGGCCGCCCTGGTTATTCCTGCGGTGTTTAACAACCGTTACAGGAATAATACTAAGACAGGCTGTCTGCATCACGGTGGACGTTAAAGGGCCTGTGTCGTCATTCGCAAGAGCGAGCCATCGCGTTTGCATGAGGGTCTAAATTTAGGAAATTGACCGCTAATTACTGAATGGGGATCACACACATCACCGATCATCGCCCCCAACTGGCCGACTAATTCCTGCTTGCAGGCAAGGTGCCGAGTCACTTTGGGCCGCACAGGGACAGCTGCCGCGGGGGGTTGTGTGCCCCCCATTTTGAATGCGAGTGAGATGGGATGCGGCGGTAAGTCGCCGATGGCACGTGCAGCGCGCTCCGAGACGCCGCGGCGGCGCGTCCAGGAGGGCGCCGCGCTACCGACCACACGATCGTTGTCCGCTGTCTAACGAGGCGCGCTCTGTTTTGTGTCCACCAGGAATTGATTTCAAAATCCGCACAATAGACCTCGACGGAAAAAAGATCAAGCTGCAGATATGGTAACGATCCTGCGCTCATCTTCGTCTGCTTACCCGCTTGTTACCGCTGCTGCTTCGGCTGTCACTCAGTGCCGTCAGATCACGTTATTGGCACCGTTTGGTACGCGCACTGCCGTCCTCTTGGCGCAGGGCGATCGTCGCCAAGAAAGGCGCCGCAGCGTTTCGCAGACACGGTCTGCGGTCGTTTTACAGTGGCGGCGATATTGCTGTGCATTTCCCAAGTGAGATTTTTGCGGCTGAATTCCCATATTGGGAAAATTTGGGCCGTAGTCTTTTGCGGACGACGCGTCAGCAATTTTAACCAGGGCCGCCTTCTGGACTTGAACCGTGAACCTCTGTAACCAGTCGTACAAGGCGCTGCCGCTGGGCCGCGTCACTGCCCAATTTATCCATGGGCACCTAGTGAAGAAGCCGGATCAGGTGACTGTCATTCTGACTTCCTGCAGTTTCCTGAAGATGGCTAATGCATTTCAAGGTTGAGTCAACCTAGGGGAGGCCCATGACCGGTTCAGATATTCATCACCGATGTTGAGGCTGTGAGCGGGAATAGAACTCGGGTCGCCGGGGATCGTAGCGTGGCACGGGAGCCACTGCTGCAACGCTCCCCACAAACGTAATGAATCACAATTGTTATGAATCACACTGCACAATAATAATAATATAAATACACAGTGCCAAGTATTGTCTGGCCCAGTGACTGTGCAACATCACTAGCAACTGGTTAACTCCTCCTGGCAGAAGTAGACAGAGAGGGACTGTTGTCTTCCTCCAGCAAACAGAGAAGATATCTCAACTGGGCGTAGTGTGTGAGTCACTGTGTGCAAATGTCATCAATTCTTCTGGCACTCGGGGCCAAAGGGTCATCACATGGGTGCCCTCTGGCCGTACATTCTGCGGAGTAAATAAGACAAAGTAAACAATCTACAATGGTACCTCACTGCTAGGCAGGGTAGTTACCATATTGCATTTTATTTTTTATCCGTTTGGAGATGCCACGGTGGTTTAAGCGGTCAGCAGCACACTGGACTCGCGATCCAGAGGCCGCCGTTTCGATTCCATCTCCCGGCAACGCGGCAGTTGAAACATTGGGGGCGAGTTTCTTAACTCCTGCTACACCTCATCTGTCCGCCCAGCAGAATCAGTATATGTGTATATATGTATTGGAGGAATCCAATGAGCTATAAAGCTCTTTCTTACAGGTGTCCAGTTAAGCAGTGTAAATGGGTGACGGGTGCAGTCGACCAGTAATTCCTGTGTGATGGGGTAAAGTGTCGGTACGCCTATTCCAGCACACCTGGTAAACATGGAAGAGTAGGCCAAATACCACTGCTCCAGTGTTGTAGGCCCTTCCATCAGCAGTGGCGTGAGGAGGCAACTACAGGGCTGCACCTTTACCTGGCTCAACTCGCTCTTAAACTCTGGAAGTGAGTACCTGGTGTGTTGTGTGTAAACATGAGCACTGGGGAAATAAAGGCAGCTGGGTGTGGCTTTTGCCACACCTACACAACACCTACCTCATATGTGCCGTTCTGGCCTTTAGAGGTGGTCGTTACATCACGTGGCCCAACAGTCAGGCTATATGGGGGATCTTTTTATTTGTGTGTCTATGAGTGTGTGTGACCATGTGTCTGTGTGTCAGTGAGTGTAACTACTCCGGGTGTGGTGCTGGCCACCCCCCACCCCCTTATGTGCCTTGCCGGCCTTCATAGGCGCTTGCTTAACAGCACTTGCTCTGACAGTCTGTTAAGGCTATACGAGGGATCCTTGTCTTTGTAACTGTGGTCATTCTCTTGCAGGGACACCGCGGGGCAGGAGAGGTTTCGTACCATCACGACGGCGTACTACAGGGGAGCAATGGTGTGTGCGTGCGTGGGTGCGTGTGTGCGTGTTTATTTACCTGTGTGTGGCACACACGCGCATCTTTTTCATTCCTTAAGCACCCAGGTTGCCCTCTCAATGTGTTTTTATTTAATCTCCTGCTTAATTCGTAATAATAATCGAGAGCGCTTTATATCGGTGCTATCGTTCTCAAAGCGCGGGGCTATGATCACGCAGGAAGGTGCTGCTGTGTGGTTTCACAGTATGGAGGCAAAGATTGCTGCTGTGTGTAATGGCAATTGAGTAATTTACACGGTCATTATTCGATATTTGACATTTGTACCGGTACCACACCGCCAGCACACGATGGCCTACTCCTCGTTTTATAGAATGATGCTACAGCATCGTTATTGTACACCGTGAAGCAGACAGCGCGTTCATGTCGTTAGGGTAAAATACGCACCGCAGTAATAACCAAGGCGGCCTGCTGGAGTGGAACCGCGAACCTCTGCCACAAGCCCCCCCCCCCACCGCTGGGCCGTGTAGTGACAGCCGGCTGATGGTTTTCGTTACGACGGCTGCGCATCGCCGGGGTCCAACGCTTTCCCAGCTTCGGTCGATGAGAGCCAAAGCACCGGCGCCCGTCTGATTGTCCGTAACCTACCGAAAACCGGCCAAGTTGATCAGAGCGTTGCACAAACCCCCTGAGACGCACAAACCGCCGCAGAAAGACCCCGCCTCGGCAGCCTGGCCCTGGCGGCTGAAGCGCGGAGCCGCAACACGAGCCCCGTGGTTTCATCGCAGCCTACGGGGGGCAGGGGGGGCGGCGTGCCGCTTCCGGCGAGCCTGGTGTGAGAGCGCAACCGTCGTCGTTGTCGCTTTTGAAATTCTTCCAAGGACGCACATTGCGCTGAAGGGCGAGCGTCATGGAATCCATGCACGTGCCTGATTGTTCTTCCTCGTGTGCGTCGCCGCCGTGTGTTTGGCGGCCCGGCTGTGCCTGCACGTGCGCCGTGTCGTCCTGCCAGGGGATCATGCTGGTGTACGACATCACCAACGAGAAGTCGTTCGAGAACATCAAGAACTGGATCAGAAACATCGAGGAGGTTCGCTTCTAATGCCTGCTGCTGTTATTACTGCGGCTGCTAGTGCTGCTGCTATGATTGCTGCTGCTGCTACTACTTGCTGCTACTGCTGCTGTTACTACTGCTGCTGTTACTACTGCGGCTGCTACGATTGCTGCTGCTGTAACTATCGCTGCTGCTACTGCTGTTTTTACTACTACTGTTGTTAGCACTAATACTGCTGTTACTACTGCTTCTACTGCTGCTTCTGCTGCTGTCGCTTCTGTAGCTGCTGCTGGAGCTGGCCGCGTTCACTTGGCGAGCGCCGGAATTTCTGGCATGTTTGAAAAAAAATCTGTCTCGCTGCACTTCTTCTATCTCTCGTTCTCTCTCTCTCTCGCTCACTTTCTCTCACTCACACGCATTCTCTCTCTCGCTCTCTCTCCCAGCATGCCTCGGCCGACGTCCAGAAGATGGTTCTGGGCAACAAGTGTGACATGAACGATCGGCGGCAGGTGACCAAGGACCGCGGCGAGAAGGTACGCAACGGCGGCGTCTCCAGGGCCGCCGGGCCGCTGGGCCCGTGACGTGCCGACTCCGTTCTCGATGCAGCCACGCCACGGCCCCCCCGTCACCACCCCCCGCGCTACGTGAGCGTGCGTCTCCACGCCATGAACCCCCTTCTTCTCCTGTCTCTTCCTCTCCCCTGCCCACAGCTCAAGGGAAGCGACTGTAATTCCCAACTCGGGTGCCTCTCTCTGTGGCTTCTGCGTGTTCTCTTTCTCGCCCCCTGGTCTGCGTGGGTTTCCTCCGGACTCTCCGGTTTCCTCCCTCGTGTGGCTTTGAGCTGCTTGAAATGAAGTCACGGGCCGAAGGTTGTCCAACGCCGGTGAAATGTTACTTTATTTGTGCAGGGGTGATAATCAAATCGCCCTGTTCAGCAAGGCTATTATGGGGGCAGCGGAGTGGTGGCAGTGCAGTGGAAACACCTGTGCTCATCGCAAGAAAGGCCTGGGTTCAATTCCCAGCTCGGGTGCCCTCCTGTGTGGAGTTGGTATATTCCCTCCCTGTTCTGCATGGGTTTCCTCTGGCTTCTCCAATTTCCTCTCGCAGCTTGAAACCCCGTAACTGGTGTTGGCTAAACAACTATTCACTGGTGACAAATCACCTGTGCCCCTGGGATCTCAGTGTGGCCGCCAAGAAATCCTCCGCAATTTTAGTTTTTTGTTCCGTCTCCCTTCGTCGCTGTGCGAGCTTCGGATCCGCGCTCTGATCACTCACCCTTTTGGTTAGGCCCATTCCGTTACTTTTCAATCGGCACGCCACCAACACCCTGCTCACTGCCGCCTCTTTATTCGCATCACCTTGCTCCCGGGCCGCCTTCAATAACCGCCCTAGGTCCGCGCGCTCTGCTGCGGTTCCTCCGTTGCGGTGTCCCCGCGACCGATACCTGTGCCCGTATCTTCTTCACGTTCTTCGAGCTTGGCGTTTGGATTTCGACCGTCGCGGTGTTGTTGAAACGGGAGGCTCGACGCGCTCTCGACATCTTTGCTCCGCAGTTGGCGGAGGACTACAACATCCAGTTCATGGAGACGAGCGCCAAGGCCAGCATCAACGTGGAGGAGGTACGCAGAACGCGCCAAGACACCTCGATGCGCGTGCCGTGCCTTGCGTGTTCTGTGCCGGGGCAGGCTCAATCTCTGCGGCATTCAGTTGGGCGATGTGGTAACGAAATTGAGTTTGTGTGATCCATGGAGCTGCCTCCCCCCCCCTTCCTTTACATCTCATCTTGCATTTCATCTCAACACACTACGAAAGGGGGCACCCCCCCCAGTGGCAGTTGTCGTATCTGTGCGGCACAAGGGGACGAGGCACCTGGCTTACGAGCGGGCATTAGTCCACCAGGAGGTGTGATGTTTTTTAATTTGGCTATTTTGAACCGTAACGCAGGCACAGTTGCCTACTCGCTTTGAAATACCACGCGCATAATATTTTCTGCTTAACAGGGTGGTCTGCCAGATTCGAACCTCTGCAACAGGCGGCTACCACTGAGCTGTGTCACCGCCACGAGTGGTCGCTTTCAAGTTAAAGTTTGTTTTGAAATAGCAGCACGCGATGGCGCGCTGCTCGCAAACGGCAGGGCGGCACAACTCCCATCCGTGTGCCCTGTGTTCGTGTCACGTGACCATCACATTGCATGTACGACGCTCTCAGCCTTATCTAGACCACCGTCTGGGAATAGCCGAACGTGTGACCGAATCACTGTTCAGACCACCAACTCGGGGCTTAGAAATGTGGTCGTGTTACTGCTACGGTTCCGAATGTGTATAATGATACATGTTGTCTTTCAAATTGGATTTATAAAAGTCACTCGGGAGTGGTAATTGAATTACGCTGCAGGAATGTTTGTCTCTCTCTCTTAATTCTCGTCCGCATCCCCTTGTTTTGTTGTCCCATAAGGCGTTTTTTACACTGGCCAGAGAAATCAAAGCGAAAATGGACAAAAAGATGGTAAGTGTTGTTTAGTATACTACTTTACATTATTATTATAATTATTGCATGTTATCATTACACGTGTTTACCCATAGAAGCCTCGGAAGAGTCCTTTGTACAGGAGGGTCCTGCCAAATTTCCCCAGTAGGATACAATGTTGCTGCTGCTGTGCAATTCCATTTGCGTAATTTGCAGGTGATATGTCAGCATTGGGGATGTTTTGTACCGACAGCGGTTACATCGTCGGTGTGTGTTTAGCTATTAGAGGGAACCGGAGAACCTGGGAGAAACCCATGCAGAACAGGGGGAGGACATAAAAACTCCACTCACTCGCACACTCAAAGAAGACAAAGATCCCCTGTGCAGCCGGAACAGATTTTTGGAGCCAGTGCTGTCAGCGAGCACCGATGAAGGCCGGTACGGCACACGTGGGTGTGGGTGGCTGGCACCACGCCCGGCCTCCTTTGTCTAGCAATTGGCGATAATTACTCAGTTGAGGCCGAGTCGATGTAGGGGAGGCCCAAAATCTATTAATATAATTGTGACCGGTGTTGGCCGTGAGCGGGAATCAAACTCGGGTCGCCGGGTTCATCGCGTAAGTGTAGCGCTTGCCGCTACACTTGTGCTCCCATACGCACATTCGCGTACTCTGCAGAACAAAGACACACCCTCACACGCACCCCCTTAAAGACACAAAGGACCTTCTCGCGCTGCGAGGCACGAGTGGTAACCGCCGCACTGCCGCCCGGGCTTCACTGACGACGACGGATTCTGCTTCTCCTTGTTGTCGTTCTGTTTCCGCAGGAGGGGAACACTGCGGCGGAAAACAGCTCGGTGCAGATCACGAACGCGTCGCACTCGAAGAAGAGCAGCTTTTTCCGCTGCACCCTGCTGTAGGCGCCGGCGACGTTGAGACGGCGCGCGGCGATGACGGCCGCCGACCCCGCGACCTCCACCATCGCCGCCCCTGCTTCGGACGCTGGGAGTGGGGGGGGCCCGCAAGCTGTGGAGAGCGTACTTTTCACGCGGCGAAAGGAATGAGGCCTCGACGTTTTGCAGACTCTTTCTAACCCTTGGCCCCTCCCGTTTTTTTGTACGGGAAAAGAAAAAGCAGTGACGTAGATTCTCGCGGGATTTTTTTTACGCTGTTCGCTAGCAATGCGATTTTTAACCAAGCGGGACTTTTCTAATTTACGTGCGGGCCATCATCGGCTATTGCGCGACCGCGAATTTGTTATTCGGACAAAATTCGTGTTATATTTAATAGCAGCTCGTTCTTAACGCACCAAACGGCCGCCAGTTACTTAACGCTCGCGATTCCATGGGCGTGTCTTTGGGCGCGACCGTCGTCCTGATTAAACTGAAGCCGCGACGCGCGCGTCACGGCTGGCGCCGCCCGCGTCGAGCCGACACTAGCAGAGCGCTCTGTGCCGCTTGCGCTTAACAGTTTACTCTCGCCTCGCTGGCACTGTCGTAACCGCTTAGCGACCGCCGGTCTCATGCTCCCAAACGCTCGAAAAAGGCCCCGGGAATGCACGGGCAAGCGATCGCGTCTCCTGTCCCAGTGGCAGCTCGTTCTTAACGCACCAAACGGCCGCCAGTTACTTAACGCTCGCGATTCCATGGGCGTGTCTTTGGGCGCGACCGTCGTCCTGATTAAACTGAAGCCGCGACGCGCGCGTCACGGCTGGCGCCGCCCGCGTCGAGCCGACACTAGCAGAGCGCTCTGTGCCGCTTGCGCTTAACAGTTTACTCTCGCCTCGCTGGCACTGTCGTAACCGCTTAGCGACCGCCGGTCTCATGCTCCCAAACGCTCGAAAAAGGCCCCGGGAATGCACGGGCAAGCGATCGCGTCTCCTGTCCCAGTGCGCCGCAGCGCGGCTGCATCGCCCCGCATCGCGGTGTGGCGCTCTATTTTATTCCCAAAACGCTCATTGCACGATCCCCCGAATCTGACCACGGTGCCGCCACTGTCGCTGCCGCTCGGGAGTAGGGGAGGTGATTTGGCAGAGTAAACGATCGGCTCGGCGGTGCACACGCATCACCCAAACAGCCACGAGCATCGTTCTGTTAGCTACTTATGTTCTCCAGAACGACCCCAACAATAACTTTTTTGCATTATGATTTCGGACCCATATCTAACAGAGAGGGCCCTTGCCTATAAATATCTGGCAGTGCACGGGCCTGACTGGATGTCAAAACCGGTCCAGAGTTTTTGTTCTGTTTAACCAGTACTGCTGAGAATATATCCCTCCCAGAAGGAAGGCCGTGGGATGTGTAAGACTGATGGGCTGTGTAGTGAAAAAAAAAGATTACATTTTTATAGATGGAGAGACCGATATGGGAAGTGCATCCGCGCATCAAACCAGGAGACACGGTGCCCTTCGTGGAATTGGGCCTCTTGCAGAGACGCGCGGCACGTGCTGCCCTGCTTCACGCCGTTGCATATCGGAGCGCTTTAACAACGTGATAAGCGACTTGCATAGCATGTTGTCGTCTCGGCAAATTCTGAAAGGGGCACCCCAGCGGCAGCTCTGCCCGGCACCTGCCCCGCAAGCGGGCGTCGGTCCGCCAGCAGGGAGCGACGATGGCCGCTTCGTCTGGTCCCGGTTCTGTAACGTGCTCGTGCAAGGGAACCCTGCTGCTGTGTGGAGAGACTGAGCTTGCAATTTGCTTCCATTGTCTTATCGGCGGTGTCACAAGAGCAAGATCCGTCCGCTTCCCGCACCTCGGCGCTGCAGATCTCTGTACTGAAATCTTTAACGCAAATGCTTTTACGAGGGTTATGAGCAGAATGCTGTTCTGGGAGTTATTTTTGCGCGCCACATCCATCCATCTCGCCTTACTTTGTGCTCGCGATGCTTGTAACACCTGTTTGTACGATGACGAGAATATGGAATATATAACTGTATTCCAATCTAGGATGATGATGATGATGATGGATATGCGTATGTTGTACTCTAGTCGTAGTGCCTTATGCCGATAGTCCCTGCTCCGAGGCAGCCTCGCGGCGATCCCGAAAATATCGAGTGGGAGATTAAACCTTGCTCCAACCGATTTAATTTTGAGCATTCCGATTCGCGTTTACAGCGCACTCCGTTCCGGGCCACTCGAGCCAACGAGACTCGTCCTAGTTCTCGCGAGTCCTCGCCCCGGCTCAACGACGACATCACCGTCTCTCCCGTCGCGATGGCGGGAGAGATTGTCGAAGGAGGCATTACGGCGTCCCAGCGCAAAGCTGGGTTCAGTTTGTCATTAAGGACACAGCGGCATCGTTCGCTGAAGTTGTCGTGACAATGAACTTCACTGAACACGGAGGCTTTCGTAGCCAATGTTACGATTCACACTTGATTTATTTGGTTTAGGCCACGTAATGACCGGGTCATTTGTGCTGATAATATCCCTCTGCCATTTGACACAGCCAAACATTGAATTGATACGTGGTGCACAAGCGCTTAAGGACACATCGGTTATCGTTTCACTCGCTCACCGGTTAATTTTAAGAACAAGTCTCACTTTGATAAATATTGTTGTACACTTGACCATTTAATCCAGTTTTGGTCATGTCCAGTTGTGTAGGGGCCTTAGCGACACATTTGGCCAGATGGCTACATGGCCTGATCCTACTTGAATGGGGTGGGGGGGGGGAGTGAATTGGTGAACGCGGAAGAAACAAGAGCGTGGTGGTGTGTCGCGAGGAGCAGAGTTTAGGAAACCGTGGTTTAAATGTTGGCAGCGCATACATCGTAGGGATAATGAAATGCTGTCTCCCCCCCCCCCCCCCCCATAACCCTGTGTTGTTTACTTTGGTGTAGGTTTGCTGTACCGTGTTATGGGAACGTAAATAGTCTGATTCGCGTGAATGACATGCAAATACGAATTTTATTATTGTTACGCTTGTTTACCCCGGGGAAGCCTCACCAAGTCTCTCTTTCAGGAGGGTCCTACCAAGTTTTTTTCCTGTAGGGGGCGACATTTTGCTGTATTTTTCCCCAATAAGTAAATTTGCGCTGTATTTTTATAATTAGGAAAATTTGGCCCCCCTGACGCTGGTACGCAAAGGCCTCCGCTTCTTCTAATGTGACGTAACTCGAGGGGATATTTAACATCCACTGTGAATGAAGCAGATGGCACCTAGTATTTTACGGATGAGAAACACCACAGTATTTACCAGGGCGGCCTGCCAGGACCGAACCGTGAAGCACCACCATCGCTCGTGTATTGGCGACATAAAGATAATAATTGAACCCTCCCAAAGACAAAATTGAAGTGCAATTTACCTTCGTAGTTTAAACTGTTAGTGAATTAAAATCGTGCTCATGACATGCACCTTTATCATTGCAGTTGCCTATCTGTTTAATATAAAACGCACACATCGTTGACAGGGGCGGAGACAGGATTTTGACTTTGGGGGGGGCTGACTTCAATATTCTGAGATATCCAGTGGATGTTTTCCAATGTGCGCCACAAATGTATAAAAGCATTTTTATTGGATTTGAACGCGGTGTTTGTTAATAGGTCGGAGCCGCTGATGTGGCTAATAAGTTCGATAAGTTAAAAAGGCTGCCGCTCAAGCAGCCTGCAGGGCAGCACAAGGTGGCAGCCAGCATTTTGCAGCAGCCGGATATCCAGTTATCCCGATTACCGACTTTCCCAAAATTTCAGGGGTGGCTCAGCCCCCCTCAGCCCCCCTGTGGCTCCGCCCCTGATCGTTGGGAATGTTGATGGGGAATGGCCGGGCGTGGTATAGCTATGCGGCTTATCTTCTGTTTGCGAGGTCAGTATTCGCAAAGGCCCTGTATTAACATTCACAACCGAAATCCAGGATCCGGCCGGGGTGGCTCAGTGGTTGAGCGAGTGGCTCGCAATCGGAAAGGTCATGAGTTCAAACCCTGGTTGGTGGGGGGGTTGGTGTGGGGTTGACTCGCCCCATCATCGTCATTCCCACCTCCGGTGTCCACATTGGTTGTCCTCTGAAGAGACTCAACCTTGCCGTAGTAATGTGGAATTTCCACCACTTGCTCTCGCAGGGCTGGTACACCGGAGGTGAGCGCCGATGCCCGAGGGTTCAACGGAGCAGGAAACGGCTCATATCGCTTTTCGACTGTGATCCAGTGGTGGATCGTGCCGCTGTGATTCTCATACCTGTCAACCCCTTATCACTGCCTACCTTGTTACAGACCAATTCGGACCTTATTGGTCACCCCGTGCCCTTATAAATCTCAACGTTTATTCTGCAAAGTCCCATCACAAGGGAGAAACACAACCAAATAGACAATCACCACTTCTACACTCACCACTAGTACACTCAACACTAAACTCACCACCAGTACACTCGCCACTACACTCACCACTAGTACACTCACTACTACACTCACCACTACATACCTGTCAACCCCTTGTCAGTGCCCTACCTTATTACAGACCAATTCAGACCTTATTGGTCACCCCGTGCCCTTTAAATCTCAACGTTTATCCTACAAAGTCCCATCACAAGAGAGAAACGCAAACAAAAATACCGTACTTTTGTTTACTCAATTTCCCTGTACAAGGATACGGGTAAACCGTATGGGTTGACAGTTATGAATGAAGAAGGCTAGTTGTGTTGTGGCTGAAACGTGAGAATTTTATTATGTTTTATTTTTATTATTTTATTTCCATTCTACGTGACTTTACCGAAAGAACCAATAAGATGAATCCCTGCAGTCACGAAAGCTTTAAATCGAAAGTTATGAATGATGTTCACTCAATATTAGAATTGGTCTAACGCGGGAGTAGTCTGCAACCAAAATAACCAGAAGCGCCTTTTCTCTTTTCGAATTCCTCTAATAAACCCAATATTTCAAGAGGCCCGCAATGCACTGTGGTGAATACGAGATGGTGGGTCCTTTACAAATAACGTAGCGGTCCTTAAGAGCCGCAGGTTGCCGATCCCCTTGCTCTAGCACGGCGCGTTGGCGCGTTTATAAATCCGTAAGCCCGCCAGGATCCCAGCAGCATTGACAATTCTGCAATCGATGAGAGCGACACTTGAATTTTCGTGTTTTTAAAATTTCCACAGCGGCAGGAGTACATCATATGTACTTCGGTAATTTAGCAACGAGAATTTAAATGTTAAATTTTGGGCCAATGCAAGCAAAGGTGGGATTTTCGTCCTTAAATAAAGGCCGCAACAACGTAAGAGTATGTAACAAATAAACATTTGATTCGTTCCACGCGTTGCTGTCAAGCTCACGCCGTGCGCGCCTGAGAAATGCACTCACGTGTCACAGCGCTGGTCTCCGTCGTCTTGTTGGCGGTGACAGTGGTATGGGGGGAGCGGTCGTGTAGCGGTTAGCGCTCTGCGCTACGAACCCGGCGGCCCGAGGTTCGAATCCCGCTCACGGCCGACACCGGTGATTATATCCAAGACGGTCCTGGACCTCCCCCCGAGGTCGACTGAGCCTGAAATGAGTACCTGGTTGCGATGTGTAGACATCATCGCTGGGGAGACAAAGGCGACCGGGCGTGGTGCGGGCCACCCACCCACAAGTCTTCCGCTCGTGCATTTCGCTTAATTTTACAATACGATGCAGAACTCG